TCTGCGATCAGAATGACTAAAAATAAAAACCTCATAATGGTTTTCAAACCTTTATATCACCATGATAAATGCATTATCATAATGTTGAAAGTGCAAGAAATGCCCTTGCTTTTTTGCATGGCAAACCACGTAACTTAATTACACTAAATAATGTTAAACACATTGAAATCCTTCCGCCTTTCTTTCCTTATTCCTTTTGCTTTCTTTATCCTTGATTCTGATCAGCCATCACGTTAGCGAGGGTTAGCTCGATACCTGGTGGTAATAGCTCGTTGAAAACCTTTTCTTCACTTGGCAAAGCGCGAGCCTCCACATTCAAAGCAGCGAATTTGTGATGAACTTCGTTGTCATAACGCTCGTAAACGCCAGCAAATGTTTCCCCGTAACGCTGAATTTGATCGCCATTCCTTACACCAAGCTGTAATGTAGGCCACTTGTACGAGCTGGGTAAACGATTTTGAGCTCTTATGTCTTCGTAGAATCTGTAAACCTCTGCAAACTTTGTTCTTATCTGATCAAGCACAGCGGCTTGAGCACCTGGTCTCCGATCATTGGGAATCACTGGGTCATTTAGGATGGCGTTCCAACGAACAAAACGTTGTCTCAAATAACCTACTGCTTGTTTGAAGTCATTGCTTTTTCTCAGAACTGTTCTTAAAGGTTCATCCCTTGGTGGGTGGCTCCACATGACGAAGTCCTCCGTCTCATAACGAATAACATTATTCTCATCTGCCACAATGGGTAAACGACGCCATTCTTCCTCATCCCTGTTTATCAATACGTACACAACATGCTCTGCAATCTGATTCACCAGGTCACGATTTTCATCTAGATTGATTTCCTTTCTAGACCACAAGGCAGAAATATGGCCAGATAAGGATTGGTTTGCTCTGAGAAATTGACCAATCAACCACGGTTGCTCTTCATCAACAGAAAGAGTGTTTCTCGTAAAATGAGAGCCCCCGCCTTTCGAGAGTATCATTACTGTAGAACGTTCTGTCGTTGATACTGCACAATATATTGAGGCCTCGTCTGTTACTCTATTGAAAGGTGGCGACGGCCAATTTCTATCGATATAGTTGGGTGCAAGTACGCCCTCGTTTTGAATATGCCTTCGGCGAACGAATTCTCTAAGCGTAATCGGCCCTATCATGTTCTCTTCCATCGAGAGAGTTAGCTGAAGAGTACTCCCTACACTTCTTTCGTGCTCTAGCCGCTCCCTGCGTGCTTTATAACAGAAGAGGACACAGTGGAGGCAAGCTGTACTTAGTTGCCAAGCCTTTGATTTGGAGTGAGGCTGAAGGTGACCTTTGATGTGAGAGAGACCAGTATCTAGTTAGCATAATAACAACGCAGTCTACCTTTGGAAAAGCGAGCAAGCTAGTTTTGTATCATAACAATGTCAACCTTAACCTCAATCCTTTCCAAAAGCTTAGCAACAGGCAGCTGTAAAATGGATATTTAATTTAATTTCGCGAGGAGTTTGACTCGTGGGTCTTCAATTTCGCACGTTTTTTACAATGGTAAAAAAAAACGCGAAAGTACCAATATGGTTACTTGCTTGCTGACAACCTCTGGCCTGTGGAAGATCATTTACAGAAATCCGAAAAAAAAGAGACTGAGATCATACTCCCTATATACCACAGACATCCCAAGCTCACGTCTCGTAAACGCGTCACGCGTTGTGGCGTGGAACTGTTAAGAATTTGAGCGCGTTACAAGATATGGTTTTTGGAAAGAAATATGGTCGAATTCACATGCTAAATATTCCGAAATGTGAATATTTTTAACGTAAGGTTAACAAAATTACCCACTCCCGGGGTGTCCGCTATGGTTTCTGGCGTTCTCTGCCGTTTTAAGCTTGCCCTGCCATCACTGACATGAGACGAGGGGAAACAGTCTCCCTTTGCTTCTATTAGCGGCGTCAGGCCAAAAGTAATTTCGCAAAAAGACGCATCAAACGGCCCACAAGGGCAAAACAATACCACAAATGCGTCGACTAACATTTCATCTAACTTTATCGAGATGTCCAGATCGAGATGTAACGTAAATATGTAACTTTTAGAGCTTTATTCATAACCCTCAGATTTTTTCCTCAAATAGTGTGGTCTGCTAGTGGTCTGACATGTCAACATACTCATATTAGGATCCACTTGTGCTTTATGTACAACAAAAACAAAGGAAAGAGACTGCATTATTGGCTTTGTGAAAAATATTTAATTTGCTGCTATTACTAAGAAAAAACCTCTTCTCATAATACCAAGGTCATCACAGAAAGTTGGACATTCATTATGACAAAAAAAAAAAATGAGTTTATTATCATATATCTGAATATGTGAATAATTGACTTTGTGAAATTGCAAAATAAACATTGACGCTTACACAGGTAAGGTTCGTTCCAAGATCCCTTTTCTGGACTTGTGTTCATCCATTCATTTATCATTTATCAACACTAAACACCAGTCCAGTTTGAAAACTTACCCTTTCTGTTAGTTCTCTTTTTACTGTTGTTCAAAGAATGTCCTCAAACCTCATCAAGGTATTACTTTGTTCTGTATTCTTGGGATCTTTATACTTCAAACTCCTTTTTAAGCTCTAAAATTAGTTTGGCTTCCTATAACAATAGTATCACATCTGTTACCCAGTTTCACATGCATGGCGAATTCTAAAATAATTTTTGGTGAAATAGATAATATCTATGCTGAATTTTAGATCCTTTCATTCACCAGCCAAATATATACTCCATTGCTTTAGAGACAATGTTTGCATCTTTCTGTGGAGTCCTGGCTCCATTGGAGACAACCTGCCACCAAAAAAAATACCTATTTCACAGGGTTTGAGCCAGGCCGCGCCATTGCGCCAATCCCGCAATAAAATTTAAAATGTCCCGTCCAAAAATGATTCAGGGGTCACTTTGTCCCCCAAAAAAGCAAGCGATTTTTGCGACAAATTTTACTGAAGTATTTTAAAAAGAAAAATTGCAAGAGTTGAAATTCAACATAAATTCGACCATAAACGGCACAATTTTTCAATAAACAATTTGGTTTTAGCCGCAGAATTAATACGCTAACAGCAATTTTTGTGAAAGATAAGAGAAGCAAGATTTAGATGTTTGTTTTGTCTCATTTTGACAACATCGGAAACTGACCAATCAGAAGCAGTCATTCCCACGGCTTGTGTAGACATTGCAACACGATCTGACAAAACTCGGCTGAGTAAAGCGTTGTTTTTTAAACTACAAAAATTGTGATTCAAAACAAAAGACTGTTAGACTTATCCTGACTCTTCTTCTCCCAAAAGCACTTTAGTAGTGTTTCATCCAATTCTGGATACTTTGACAAAATGTTCAAAATTGCGGCTTTTTCCCCCGAAATTGTTGTGAGAGAGGCTTCAGTGCCCAAAACAGGATTAAAAATGCATTGAGAAACAGACTAAAAGCCAACAGGTTAGATGTACTTATAACCATAGACATCGAGGGGCCACCTTCTGTGGACTTTGATTTTTCATTAGCCCTTGAAGAGTGGGCTATAAATCGCTCCTGTGATTGAAGGGCTACTTTATGTTGAAGATTTCACCACTAACTGATTTTTGCGTACATGACCGTACATGGAATTTATTTGCACTTGTAGTAGTATAGTCAACTGAAAAATTAAATTAATATGACAAAGAAGGTTATTACACATGTCGATTTCGGTTGAAGCGACGGGAAAAATATTATACTTACAATTTGTGTTCCATATGCGGCTAGTAAGCTTCGAAACTTGCGATCTGTGGTGACACTTTTGAAATGTAAGTTGCGTAACGAACTTCTAGGTTTTTAAATAATTAGTCACCTGATCTATTTTTGCCGCGTTGCGCTAAGATAATTAAATATTCACAAAAAAAATGACAAACGGCTTGAGAAATGCAAATCATAGTGTTTCATCCAATTCTGGATACTTTGACAAAATGTTCAAAATTGCGGCTTTTTCCCCCGAAATTGTTGTGAGAGAGGCTTCAGTGCCCAAAACAGGATTAAAAATGCATTGAGAAACAGACTTAAAGCCAACAGGTTAAATGTACTTATGATCATAGACATCGAGGGGCCACCTTCTGTGGACTTTGATTTTTCATTAGCCCTTGAAGAGTGGGCTATAAAGAACAGGAGAATTTTGAAATCGTGAAATACTGCTATTATAAATGTACATGTAAGATGTTAATTAACTAAGAAGGATCTGCAATGAAATGTGGAAGCAAGAACAAATATGATATTGTTAAAATGATAATGGCACAACAGGGTTGTATCCTCGTGTACCGGTACACAAAAGAAGGAAACATTAACGAACTGCGTCATAACTCCATGTATGGTTATGAAAACAATAGGAATTCCCTCGTGTACCGGTACACGAGGACAGCCCCCACAACAGAGTTGTTGGTCTTGTTCTTTTACAAATAGTCACTTTCTTAATTATTTTAGTGGCCATGATCAGTTGCTGGTTGTAAGAGAATCATACAGTTAAGAGTTTACAGAGAAAGATAAAAAGAAGCATGCCACCTTACAATGTAACTTGTTGCTATTTCATTAAATGTTTAAAATTTTAGTTCAGTTTGAAATTTTCCCTATGCTTAAGCGACCCTCAGAAATGGAAAATGTCCCCCCAAAAATAACCTAAAAGGACAAATTGACCCTAAATAGTCAAATCCTAGCTCAAACCCTGTATTTCAGATTTTCACATTTTGTTTTTTCCCCCAACTAATATTTAATCCAAATTATAAATTGTTTGAACCTAGAGGGCAACATGTAATAACGTGGTCTGATTATCCAGGTGAGTGTAGTCCTGAGAAGGATCAAGTTATGAAAGCCCATACTTCATAAGTCCTATGGTTTCTTTGGGCTTCCTTCCCATTTTCTCTAACCTAGTTAGTACAGTGTTGTGGTTGCATGGCTGGAAAATAAAATTGCTGGAATTATATGCTCAATTATATTTTGGGCCTGTACATTATTTAAGGTAGTAAATAACCTTGCAGGTGTTCTGTCTAATTTGTTTCCAAGTCCTTGGGATCTAAGTGGTGTTCCAAATAGGCCATTTTACAGTTATGTACTTAGTTGCCAGGCCTTTGATTTGGAGTGAGGCTGAAGGTGACCTTGTTGTGATAGAGACCTGTATTTAGTTAGCATGATAACAAAGTAATTTGCATTTGAAAAGCAGCAAGGTTTGTATCATCACAAGGTCACCCTCAGCCTCATTCCTGTTCAAAGGCTTGGCAACCAAGCGCACAACTGTAAAATGGACTATTGATGCTGGTACTGTCTTGGTGACAAGAATGTTCCTGCCTGACCAGGGCTTCTATTGTATAATCCTACAGAAGAGCCCAAGGGTCTTGCTCTTGGGAAAAAAAAACAAAACGAAATAAAATGCTCATGGAATCTAGAATTCAAAGACTATAAATTGCTCTCACCCTTCGGGCTCATACAATTTTGTTGTCTTTGAAAAATTGCCTTGCGCTTATCAACACCAAATTACACTGAAAATCAAGTTACTACTTGTTAACAATGTACATGAAAAAACATCATAGAAAGTCAAGACAGACGAAATTTTGAAAGCATCTGCACGCTCATCACCATCTTCAAGCACTTATGTGACTGCAGATTTCTGTTCACAATAATCATGCACATAGTCATTACTAATTTGCAGTAATCCAGTAAAATTTTGGGAAATGAAAGGTTTTGTGCAATTAACCTCATTTAGTTTGATTTCAATTTTTCAAACAGTCTTGGCATCTCAGTGATAATTTGATACTACAGGATTTGTATATGTGTTAAGTGAAAATTTGGTGCAACAGGCATTTTCAAGTTTGGGTGTGTATAGTTTGGTCTTACTGAAAATATATGTTTTCTTGATTGAAATACCTTTCCAAGTGAAAGTAAATTATCCCTGCTCTATTGGCCTTGAACTGGACATGCCTGACTCGTTTGTACAAAGTAAAGAAAAAATTAATTCCACCCTGAGTATAATGTTGACCTTTTTCAGATGACTAAGATGAAGTATACCTTTAAACAAATAATTATTTTTACCCTAGATTCAATACACAGTCACTTACATAGGAAAGTATGCTATAAGATGGATTGAACCTAATTAAATGATTATAAAATGATGTTCCAAATGAGATTAGAAGTTTATCTACATTGTCATCTTCCAAGAGAAACACTTGCAATCTTTACTTGGAAATTTCCATGACTGAGAATTATTTCTAGAGGCACTCATTTTTTTTTTAAATAAGTCATCTTGTTCCAGTTTTTCTTGTACATTTCTATAAAATTGTAAAAATGCTAACCAATTTTGGCAATTTTACAGGAAAACTTCAATATTATTTTAATTTTTTTGTCATCTAAGTATTAGCAATGAAATAGTGCTATTAAACCTCGAACTCCTAAGTGTAACTGGCATCTTATTTCTGCTTCCTGAATAAAGCATTAACATCACAAGAATTGAGGAAAAGATCACCAAATGCAGAAGCTGTGGATTGTTAAACAAATTCTTCTCCTCAGCACCTTAGGAAGTTCATGGAGAACAGTGTGGAGTAATTTCATAAAAAGACGCTTCAATCAGCCCACAAGGGCAAAAAAATACCACAACTGTGTTGACTAACATTTCATCTAGCTTCGTTGAGATATTCAGACCGAGCTGTAACGTAAAGACGCAACTTTCAGACACAGTGTGGTCTGTCTGTGGTCTGACATGTCAACATACTCATTTTAGGGTCTATTTGTGCTTTATTTACAATAAAAACAAAGGAAAGAGACTGCATTATAGGCTTTGTGAAAAATATTTTATTTGCTGTTATTTCCAAAAAAAAACCTCTTCTCATCACAGAAAGTTGGACATTCATCATGACAAAAAAAAAGTTTATTATCATATATCTGAATATGTGACTAATTGACTTTATTAATGTCAGTATTCTTAAAAACATTGCAGAATAAACATTGATGCTTATACAGGAAAGGTTTGTTCCAGGATCCATTTTCTGGACTTGTGTTCATCTACTTATTTACTATTTATCTACACCACACGCCAGTCCAGATCAAAACTTACCCTTTCTGTTAGTTCTCTTTTTACTGTTCTTCAAAAGAATGTCCTCAAACCTCATCAAGGCATTAATTTGTTCTGTATCCTTTGGATCTTTATATTTCAAACTCCTTTTTAAGCTCTAAAATTAGTTTGGCTTCCTATAACAATAGTATCACATCTGTTACCTAGTTTCACATGCATGGCAAATTCTGAAATAATTTTGAAATAGATAATATCTATGCTGAATTTTAGATCCTTTCATTCACCACCCAAATATATACTCCATTGCTTTAGAGACAATGTTTGCATCTTTCTGTGGAGTCCTGGCTCCATTGGAGACAACCTGCCAACAAAAAAAATACATGTTTCAGAATCTTACATTTTGTTTTTTCCCCAATTAATATTTAATCCAATAAATGGTTTGAACCTAAGGCGCAACATGTAATGGTTTGGTCTGATTATCCAGGTGAGTGTAGTCCTGAGAAGGACTGATGTTTTGACAACTTGAGCCAAAGTCATCATCTGAGTAATGAAAAGAGACATATGCTCCAGAAACAAAATAATATGTCACTGCCATAAGAAAAAAACAACAACAAAACTACAAATTGCTTACAAGTAAGCTTAAAATTTTAGCAACTGGCTTCACTATTTTAAATGTAATTAAAAAAACCTGGCTATTAACTTGTGATTCTATTTCAAGTAAAGTTTGTCTCATATAAAGATTTCACTCAGATTACCTGATGGTCACTTCGAGCTGCTTGGTAAGCGGCAGTCAATGGTCGCACTGGAACAGGTTTACTCGCTGTTGGAGATGTCATCATGGTTTCATTCCTGTTTGACGATAATGGTGTGCTCATATTCTCTTTCCCAAAGGTTTCCATCACACTCTTTAACAGTAAAAAATGTAGCAAGTGTTAAGATGTGCTGCATTTCTTACTGAGTCAAAGTTCAAAGAGCTGCTGAATGAAGATTACACTCAATGCAACATCCTTTCTAAATGCTCAATGACAGAGAAATTCAAGGACTGATCATTTAAGATCTGTGAGACATAGGGGGTGGTATTTTTGAGTTAATAACACTTCCCAACCCCCCAACCCCCCAACCCCCCCCCCCCCCCCTTTACAATCCTTCCACTCCTTCACCAAAAAAAGATCCAATCAGAGGATTTGACCCACCAGCTGAACCTGATGCTTAATGCTGGATATAACCCTTTTAGAAACTGTCAGCCCCTCAGGGAACAGAAGGTGGACCTAAAATAGTAAATTTAATGTACAATTTATCTGGACTTGGCAGTGGTTGATCTGTAAAATGCTGTAAACACCAAATCTTACCTTCTCAATACAAGGCATGACACCAACCATAATGTTACTGCCATAAATCTTTCCATTTTTACTGAGAGCCTGAAGAAAACAAATAGTCAGATCTTTAGATATAAGTGATCCTTGCAGGTACGAATGCTACTGAACTAGTTGTTGAAATGAGACCTGAAAAAAATTTCAAGCCCATACAGGATTTGAACTCATGACCTCTGCGATACCAGTGCAGCGCTATACCAACTGAGCTAACAAAATTTTCATATAATTATTTCCAGTCATTAATCAGATCTTGTTGTGTAATTTTATGCTGTAAAAGTCATTTTCTAAACTTCAAACAAACACAGGCTATCATCAGGATTTTTCATGAGAGGAATGGCACATGTTATAATGAGGGAGAAAAGTAGATGAAATAAATATTCCAGGGTTCAATGAGTACACTGAAAAAATGTAAAGATTACAGCTGTAGCTATTTTGATCTGCATTTTCAAAAGATCAGTTTTTAAAATGCTTTGTGTCTATTCCAAAATGTAAAGTTGTTTTTTTTTACTTTCATCTTCTTTGGAGATTTATTGAAAAAGCTTTGTTTTTGCAGGAAAATTTATCCAAATAAGTGTATAAAGAAGGTCTTACCATTTGAAACAAGTTACTTATTGGGAAGTAGCTGTGCCTGACATGTGCTATACAGCTGTAAATGGTTAGATAACTTAAGAATCTTAGCAATAGTTTTTTATTTTACTCACCTTTTTGGCTTGAAGTTTTGACTGATACTGAAGATGCAACCAGTTCCCTTTGGATGTCTAAATAAAATTTTGGAATCATGATAGTTAGTTTTAAAATACTATCACATCAAATGCACTATTTACACGCATCTATTATTTCATAACTAGTTCAATTCTGGAAAGGAGAAAATTGACCTGACCTTCAAGTTGGATCTTCTAAGTGAAAGCTATTAACCCTTTAACTCCTGGATCAAATTTGTACTTCTCCTTACTGTCAACCATACACTTGTTATAATGTGAGTTCAAAGAATTTAGTATCGGATCAACTAATCATCCCCACATTAATATTTTCTTTTTTCTCATCAATTATCTGGTTGATATTGTATTGATATTGTAAGGAAAAATCCTGTCTTGGTCACTCATGGGAGGTAAATGGTTAACGACATGTACTTACAATAGACTCAACCTCTTGTTCTGTTTTAAGTGCTGCTGCTATGAACACGATTTGGTATTTTTCTCACTCAATTCCAATTTTATATCAGCAAAATACTGATTGTTGCTGCATAACATTTCAAAAAAAGTCTAAATTTCTTGAGTAATTTCTTGTTTAGGTTACCAAGGTGAACCTTAGTAACCTTTAAATAAAAAGTTTCTCCCCTTTGCTTGTAACATAAATCAAACATCTGGGTCACATTCTTCCCAGTCTACATTAACTCTGTCAAATAACTTTTCAGGTTTTCAGACCTTAAATGCTCTTGAAAGGAACTATTTTTGATCCTTGTGATGATCTGAAAGTCATACTAACAGCAACCTCAGCAAAACTTACCACACTTTTCATGATGTTACCATACTGAGAAAATTGTTGCAGGATAAATGAGGAAGCAGCTGGTGGGAAACTGATTAAAAAACAATGACAAATAAAAAAATAATAAATAGATAATAATAATAATAATTACAATAATAAATAAACAAATTAATAATTAGGAACAAGATTACCAAAAAATTAAAACAAATTCATTTACAAAAATTAAGAAAATGTTAGTCAACTTATGCTCTTTTATATTGGAATTATTAAAAAAATCTACTATATTAAGTAATAGATATATCTTACCCAAATACTGTTACCCAGCATTCATCTAGTATGTCATCACTTGATATCGCCATCCTAAAATACATGTCACCAAATTGTACTCAATTTTTTTTTTAATTCTCGTGGGTAGACTTTCCATCTGATTTGTCTTCAACTTACTCTGTCTGTACTTCAGTATCAGATAAGGGTAAAATAATCACCATATTTCCTTGAATAACCACCCACAAAATCCAGCATCATGAACCCCTTTGCCACATCACATCCATATACAAGGTATCACATTTCACATTGATCACATAAAATGTGTAAGAATATCTTATTTTATCACAATTGGCAGTAATGTCGCAATCTGATAGACCAATTCACTGTTGTCAGTAAGAATACAGACAAAACCACACACATCAATGTGTCACGCAATGGCTGCGCACCATGGGTTCACAACACTTTGACCACTGTGATGACAAATATCTTTCACGATCAGAGTACAGACCACGCTAAACCACTGTGGATTTGTTAGATAGAAATGTCTATAATTTATAAAAGTTCACTAACCCTTGAGTGTAGAATGGATCAATCTGTGTTGGTGAAGACAATGGGCCATGCTGAGGACTGAAATGTTGTGAATCTACACCAGACATTGTGGCATTACCACCTGGGGTAGAATATCCAGAACTCTTTCTAACAGATGTCATAACAGCAGTGGCCATGGTCACATCCATTTGCTGTAGAATAAATCATAATCAGCAGAAGTAATCAGAGATGAGTGAAGCAAATTGGATTCTTATTTCCAAATTGTTCAGAAATTTCAAGACAGTTGTGTATGTTTCCAGGCTTAGGATCACCTTGTTCAATATTCATTGTCAATTCTATTAGCTGTATAAACAGAATTTTTAACTTCTGAAAGTGACTAGCATATAATTTCTCCTGAAAGTATAACCCCTGCATCATGCAGAAAGGTCATGGGAATAATGGAAATGATCACCAACTAAAAATTATCTCCATTGATAAACAAATTCTCCTTGTCAGCGCCTTATAAAATGTATGGAAACAGTAAACAGGAGAATATGAATACAGGACATTTCGCACAAAAGACTTTCCGCACAAGTCTTTTAGCACAAGTTTTGGACCGTTCGCACAATTCTTAGCGGTCATTTCGCACAATAATTATAAGTGAGAAACATCAATATAAAAGGTATACTAATTAATACTGATAAAACATTTCACCTGCACATGTCACTTTCAATTAGATCCAATGGCGAGAAGGTAGACATTTATTTACGTAATAACTTCAACTAGATCAAAATGCTTGTGAACACGATCAATATTCTTACTTGAAGAAAGGAACAAATCTTTCTCTCTATGAAAATATAAAGAACTCCCTATTCGAACGATTACTTCTTTTACTTTTCCTTTGTTAAACAAAAAACCTTTTAGTTTTGACAGTATATCATCCACTACAAACAAACGAACATGACGACCCAACGCTAACTGATGTTAGGGTGTAAAGGGTCACTACTTGGCAAATGATCAAGTGATATTCCACCAGAGCAAAAGGCGCAGGAGATTATTTCATCATTCAACAAAATAATACTAAGATGCATAGATGACATCAGCATTTGCTTTTTTTTTTTTAATAAGATAACAATATAACACAAATAGATTGCATGTTGCCATGGGTATGTACAGTAAAGTAATAGATCAAAGAAGGCTACAAAATGTGGTAAGAATATCTGTGACACACTTGGCTGCAAAATCGTATGTGCATTTTTGTTTTTACCACATTTTGAGAAGGGAGCAGTGATACTTGTAGTCACTTCATGCTAAGGAAATTGGGATAAGTTCCAGCTTTGGGGGGGGGGGGGGAGGGGGGAAACTTGGCTGAACAACACACTTCATCTTTCACCTTTTTTTCTGTAGTACAGTGGCCATAGTTACCTGTTCTCTGTTGAAAGGAGAATTGGTGAAATCTGAACTTCTCGCATCGTAAAGTCCTTCAACAGGAGGTGCACTGATGGAATCTTTTGGAGTACAATCCACAGCAGATGATCTAAATAAAAAGACAGAAATAAAGCATTTGCAAAACAGGCAAAATGCATGATTTTTCATATATATTTGGCTCAAAGAGAGGAAAAGAGAAAATTAGCCACAGTATGGCTGCAAGATGTGAGGTATTTGTTTTACTTTGTTCTGTTTTTATTTGGTTTGTAATAATATACATGAAAAAAAAAAGCCTGTCTGATTAGCTGAAAATTAGTGGTAACATGTGTACATATAGCATGTGTGCACTGCCAAAATTTTGTCACTCTTGACTATCTGTGATGTGTTTTACATGAAAGTATTAACAAGTAACAACATGATTTCTCATGCAGTTTGGTGTAAATAAGCACTTGTATTTTTCAATTTTTTGTGCAATTTTGTTGCTTTTGATATATTTACTTGTGCTCATTTAGACCAAATTGCACTCCCTATTATGTCCCTCCATCACTGTAAGTAACATACTAATACATATAGATTTAGCCAAGCCTAAAAGCGGAGCTCACATTTTTTTTTTCCTGCACGTCTCAAGGGCACAACGCCTTGCCCCGGCCAGGACTAGAACCCAGGTCATCTGACTCGGAGCCCAGTGCACTGACCACTGGACTACTGGACAAAGCCTTGGCATTGGCGTGCCCGCAGTACACTTGACCATGCATATTAAAAGTAGCACCTTCTACAGTCATACAGTTGTACAACCAAATTTTTTCAGCTTGATGGGTTACTAGTATTTTGTATAGTTATGGGGCTACGCTCTGCGAGCTCCACTATTAGTTATGAAAGCCCATACTTCATAAGTCCTATGGTTTTTTTGGGCTTCCTTCCCATTTTCTCCAACCTGGTTAGTACAGTGTTTGTGGTTGTATGGCGGGAAAATAAAATTGCTAGAATTATATTCTCAATTATATTTTGGGCCTGTACATTATTTAAGGCAGTATATAACCTTGCAGGTGTCCTGTCTAATTTGTTTCCAAGTCCTTGGGATCTAAGTGGTGTTCCAAATTGATGCTGGTACTGTCGTGGTGATGAGAATGTTCCTGCCTGACCAGGGCTTCCATTGTATGATCCTATAGAAGAGCCCAAAGGTCTTGCTCTTGGGAAGGGCTGTGAAAACAAACAAAACTAAGTAAAATGCCCATGGAATTTAGAATAGGTGATGACATGACTTGCAAATTGCTCTCACCCTTCGGGCTCATACAATTTTGTTGTCTTTGAAAAATCACCTTGTGCTTATCAACACCAAATTACAATCGAAATCAAGTTACTACTTGTTAATAATGTACATGAAAAAAAACATCACGGAAAGTCAAGACAGACGAAATTTTGAAAGCATCTGCACGCTCTTTGTAATTTGCACTCATATTACCACCTTGCACTCATGCTACAACTTTGCACTTGGGTCACATGAGAATGACCTCATTTTAAGCCAATCAGAAGCAGGTAATTTTTTCATGTGCATTATTATCAGGGTTAAGCAGCCTATTGGTAAATTATTAACAAGAGATCTCTCACTAAGTTACTAGGTTCTAAATGATATGCTGTATTTGGAGTTCTTTTTCTCTGTGCATGTCTGTCTTTCACCAAATGACACCATCGTTCATTCAATTTATCATCCTAGGACAAGGAAATTGATGAGGAAATTTTATCACAAATCGCCTTGAAAATTAATAAATCAAAAGGGTAGTCAAAGGCAAGAGTTTGTTGGTAGTAAGTAGCATTAATACGTAAAATATGGCGCCAAATTTAAACAAATTACAAATGATAATGAACAACTCAAGAATAAACGAATATTTTTCTTAGAGAGGTACATACAAACAAAATCTAAGCGATCAGTGTTCATTAACAAAACAGCAATGAATCGATCAAAGATTTAAGTTACTCTTGAATCTAACATACCGAAGCAGCCGGCGAATTGCCGCCAAGGAGATACTGCGGCAAATAACCAGGAGATGATGGAGAACTCATGTGATGTTCGTGAACTGAATAATCAGAGAAGAAAAGAAACGGTAGTCATACTCAATGTTTAACTTGACTGAGCGATCTAGTGGTGTTTTACCTTGATGATCCATGGCGAATTTGCTCTTTCCTGAAAATCGAATAGATTCCGATTCACCTTGCACAGCGGACTTTGTTAGAGAGACAATCCAAGATAGAATAAGTGACGTAGAAAATGTGGTTGCGCGTGCGCGATTTGCATTGATATGTAGGCTGCCATTCTGATCGTGAAAGGGGCGAGCTTCATTGCGGCGTGCAGTTGGATGTAAAATGACTTTCCTAAACCGTGCCAATCAAAGTTTTTTAACCCATGCTCGCCTCTGGTATCTTGTAGATGCGAAGGATCAGATCAATGGACGCTTAGCTTCGTATCTAAGCCAAGTTTTGCAAGGAAAGACAAAACCTATATACCATCATACAGATGATGTTGGTGATTACGTTGTGGTGATCAACACGAGACATATTGTTTTATCTGGTACCAAGTGGAAAAATAAACTTTATCGTCATCACACTGGTTATCCGGGTGGATTAAAATCTATAACTGCAAGAGAGCTGCACAAGCGAGACGCTACAAGGATCCTATGGAGGGCTGTCTATGGAATGCTTCCGAAAAACAATCTCAGACCTATTTGGATGAACAGATTGTTCCTTTTTGAGGACAATGAACATCCGTACGCGGAGAATATTTTTGCCAAATTGGAAGGCCCAGCCCCCTTACCCAAAAGACTGGAAGAGTTCACAGTAGAGGAAATCGAAAACTATCCGAAACTCTTTTGATCAATATTTTGGATGCTAGCCCTCATTAACTCCAACCATCATTGCCTTTTCAACTGTGAGAATGTAATTTTTGCAGAGATAACATCAAGATGAAAAACATGATGAAAATTTTGACTTAACATTTTCATGAGTCAATGGATGACTTTAGCCGTCACATGTGGTGTTTGGCTCACTAGTTATATGCACATGACATGAAAAATAACAAGTACAATTCATCATTTCATGGTCAACCACTTTATCCCATTTACCTAGTAATTTCAAATAAACCGTGTTTTTTTTTGAGGCAATGACACAATTAAAACCATGAATTAACCATCAGTTGCCTATTATTTCATTTATTTACCTCTGTCATTTACTGTATATTTTGTAGTTACATGTAAGCACCTGATGTCCTTTACTTTACTTTTTGTGGTTCTTGCCACAGAACTCCGAGGTGCTATCCGACTTTCTTGCCATAACCCTTTCAATTCGAAGATCTTGGTAGTAATTCTCCTCACTGTCTGCCATATAATTCTTATGATGTTATTTTGGATAATTTGGTTATCAACTGATAATTTATATTTCTTTTCATTCTTACTTGTCTGGTTGCATTAGAGGATTAAACAGTGTGTAACATAGGAAGGTTCAACAACCTAAAAGTTTCTTTCTTGTAATTTAAAACAGTCTTAATTCCTCCTTCACAATGGCTTTATCAGGTCTTGAGTAGGATTCATAATTTTGGGCCAGATTAGTCTTATTTCTCCCTTATGACTTATTTTACCTGTCTGTGTTGATGAAAAGTTCACACAGGAGCCTGTGTATGTTTTCAAGTTGCTGATGACCCAAAAAATAAACTGTAAGGCTCAATGACCACCACCCTCTCAAGTCCAGTCCAGGTAGTAATCTATAACTGTGAGGGGGGGTTGGAAACTGCCACTGACTTCTTAAACTGCAGCTATTAAGCCAAATTATGTTAGCATGCGAGGCAAGAGAATTCTGCAGTGTTTTTTTTTTTAATTTGCTGATTAGAAAAGCTTTTTCCATGCTTGTCATGGGTGATTCCAATTCTTGGAGGAAAAAAAAAACTTTAGGCATAACAAAGAAACTCCATAAAAATCATGTAACTAAATGCATTGTTTTCTTTTTCTTGTCAAAAAAAGGGAAAAAATTAGTGATTACATACCACCTTTTCAATGCCTAAAAAGTGACACAATAACCGTTCATGCAAGGTTTGTGCTTATTTATTGACAATCCCCATAGGTAACTGGTCAAGTTGCCTGGAAGTCATCTCACCCCAAGTCAAGTGGGGAGGAACCTTAGTCATGTCACCCAAACACAAAAGTCAAGTTGCCCAAAGAAACAAATACTTGAAAGAACAGACTTTCTGACTATAAATAAGCAATAAAGTTGAGAAATCTTTATCACCAAAGTGGTTTGTTTCCAATAACACCATGAAGATGATGGTCAGAATAGAAATATGTTCCTCTGACAACTCTTAAAGTGTTGTTCGCTTCTGACAACAAAGAGAAGCTCTGTTTATTTCTAATAACAAAATCAAGCATTGTTTGGTATGTACTAGTTTCTTACTCACAGATGTTTCGTAAACTTGAGAAATCTTACCTTTGTTTCTCACAATACCATGAAAAAAACCCTACAACTGTTACAAGAGTATTGTATGGCTCTTTATTGAGTACACAAGTTCACAAGTAACTGGAGTTGAACATACTTTCCCAGAAAATTACTTGAGCCAACACATAATACATGTATGCTCCACCAAAACTGTGCTCTCTTAAGTCTAGAATGGGTCACCCCTTGATTTGGGAAGACCGATGCTTTCTGTACGAAGTTTGACTTTATTAGTCAAAGAAATACCTTTCACCGTTCAATATTCATCAAGCTTTTTTGTCTTAGAGTGAACCATCAAAAGTACCGTTTGCAACATCTACCATTTTGGGGAACTTTGCTTTCTTGGTGTCCAACTCTGTTTGCGCCCACAACAACAGTTTTAACAAATTAGACAACTTGGGTGAGGTTTCTCTGTGTTCTGCTTCCAGAATGGCAGCATTCAATTCACTAGCAACCTTTTGTCTTTGTGAAGTACACAGCAATTCACCAAACGGTGAATCCTCAGGGTTATCAAACGCCAGCAAAGCCATAGTTCGCTCTAGTTCTTCCAGGAACTCGGGAGATTCGTGGCCTTGCTCAGCAAGCTGGTTTTGGGCAAAATCAACAGCCGATTCAATGTCTTTTTCACGAATTAACTCGATAAGGCGTTGTTGCTGAAGATGAAAATACAGATGCGGTTTGCAGTCGAGTATCTCTGGGTTTAACTTGTTCGTCAGAGCGATTGCTTCTTCGATGTCTCCACGTTGGACAGCGGCTCTTATTTTAATCCTTTCGTCGAGATTTTCCAGCGGAGCACAAGGCTGCGTGCCGGATTCCATTTTAAATTTCTCGGCAGCCTCCTTGAAGCCCTCTGTAACAAGGTAGTCCATAATCAGACGGTTCATGTCTGCTCTCTGAAATCGCATGTCTGTTAACTTTGTCATCCACTCCTCTCTATTTCCTTCTTCTCCTTTTTCTGCCTGGTTCATCTGAAAGGAAAAACAGCTTTTCTTCGCGGTACAAAAGTCAGAAATTGTTTGAAAATACAACACTTCATAAATATTGTTTGGACAAAATGGCGGGTTGCGTTATGCTAGTTACTGCGCATGGGCGAAGCTAGTTTCAAATCGAGGCTACTCTCTCGTGTCCTCTTTCCCTCTTTGCTCTCTCGCGATCTGAGGTAGGCGAAATAGCATTTGAAATCGTCCACCATCCTAACTTTAAAGCAACCATCAGACGATAAATTTCATATGAAAAGATTCTTTGATAGTATTTGTTTCCACTTTGCTCCTTTGCCTTTTTATAATACGTTTATCTTAGATTCAAGCAATGTCTGAAGTTTCTCGGTATCAGGAAATCTTTACAAGTTGTTATTATCTCAACATTCGAGCAGTGAATTTGGCTTGGTTTAGAAAATGAAATAATTAGTGATTTCAAGGTCATAGTTCTATGTGAGAATATGCTTCACCATACAAAAATACAATGGTTTCAGAATTTTTTCTGTCGTGGTGCACGTTTGCAAATTCTGTATCTGTTCATCATTTTATGTTCGGAACGGTACGAGTAAGTTGAATTGTGTAGTAAGTGTTTAACATAATCTAATAACGGGTTGTTCTCTTCTAACGTGTTATACAAGAACCAATAATAACTACTTCTATTATTGACAAAAGCTACGCTACATTCTGTGTCGTTCCTATATCAATCTCAGTGGGATGACAGCAATGAGCAGATCACTTCGGAAATTTTTATCGATATAGTTGTTCTGCATATGTGAAACTTCTGCACAATGAACACAAGTGCATCTCAAAAAAGTGAACAGATGAGCATCTTGGCATTCTTGTAAAGGTGAAAATGTGTCAAACGTTCTAGAAGGAGATGTGAAATGAGGTCTAATTGTGGCATAGTCTATGACTACTGTCTTTCTTCATTGTTGCATAAATCCAACTACCCAATGTGTTTATTTGTATGTTCGTTAAAAAAACTAAGTCTGTGAAGAAATTATTGTTATTCTCAGATAGATAATAGCCTTTAACTCTGTCTTTAGGAACACCATATATGATAATTAAATATTCAGTCTTATGGTAGATCAGTTACAAGGTTTTGGGAAACCAACTATAGTATTTGTGGGGCTTATTTGTCAGAGTCCTACTGCAATGGTTATAGTTTTACCCTCGATTTCAAAATATGACATTGGGCACTGTGCCAAGCTTTAACCCTTCAAATTCTAAGGTCTGAATGTCAATTCTCCCCTCTAGCTACTAAACATTTCCTTGTAAATAAGTTGCGAGAATTTAGTGTTAGATCTAGATAACTTCTACCTGATAAGTTTGAGTATTCTCATGCCCTGTTTTCTGGGTAATGTTTTGTTATTATAGTGGGAAATTACATGTTGATCACTTTTGGGAGTTTAAGGGTTAAAATTCAGTTTGAAGTTCTCATGACTACCTTGCATTCTGATTGGGAGAGTTTCTGTTTTTGTCATTATTTACATGGAAGGTTCAATGTAAGATGGTTCTATAAGTTCACCATAAGGGAGATTTTATACTTAGAAAATTTGAAGTCCCAGATTTGAGCCATGTGTTGCTCAGCATGTATCATATATGTGTTAAAATTATTGTATCTTTGGATTCAAATTTCCAGCTGACCTAGGACAAAATGGGAGCATACAAGTACCTTGAGGAGCTTTTCAAAAAGAAGCAATCTGACCTTTTACGGTTTTTACTCCGTGTACGATGCTGGCAATACCGCCAACTCAATGCCATTCATAGAGCCTCACGACCCATGCGCCCTGACAAAGCTCGTCGTCTTGGTTACAAAGCCAAGCAAGGGTATGTGGTTTACCGTATCCGTGTAAGACGTGGTGGACGCAAACGCCCAGTACCTAAAGGTGCAACTTATGGTAAACCTGCCAACCAGGGTGTGAACCAATTGAAATTCCAGAGAAGTTTAAGATCTGTGGCTGAGGTAGGAAGTCAAAGCACTCTTAAATTTTCTACTACTTAAAAGCTGATTTTTATTTATCAGAAAACCCTGACAGGGAGGTATTTTCAGGATATCTTTCAAACTGTGACAAGTTATGTGGACAGATGAATTTGTGAAATTGTAAACATTCTCAATTTTTTGGGATAGTTGACAATGAAATGGTAAATTGAGAATGTTTCTATTTCCTTTATGTATTCCATATATTTTTTATGGTTTTTGATGAATAATTTGCTTCAGTTTTGTTAAGGATGATGGTGTTTTAGCCTTAGTCCTGACAATTTCAATTGAGGGGGCTTATTGAAGTGCTGATTTCTTTAAATTCCTTGATGGGTAGCATATAGCATTTTCCATGAGTGGAAATTTAAACTATATTTGTAATATATAGATCAGGGGTACTTGCCAAGGGAATTTTTTCAAAAAGAGAGATGATTTTAAATTCTTGTTCTCAAAGCTTGGCTAATTCTTAGCTCTAGCAAGGCCAAGTTGATGTCTGCCTGCCTATACAGAACACTTGAACCTAGGGAACTTTGTAAATGGTTGAGGCATCTGATAATCAGAATATGACGATCCATTGTAAGACTTGATGACTCGCCATGAATTAGGCCATGCCCCTTCACTTACTTATGAGATATGAAGAAGTGAAGGCTCAATTCAAGGGAGCCTTTGGTTTTTAACCCTTTCACTTCCATGATCTCATCAGTAATTCTCTTTACTGTCTGCTATATAATTCTTATGATGTTGCTTTGGAGAATTTGGTATGGATCAACTTGCAGTTCGTTAATTTGTCATTTTTCTTTATTCTTACCTCTTGCCTGATTGATATTGTGTAGATATTGTATTGATATTGTAAGGAGGAATTCTGTCTTGATCACTCCTGGGAGTTAAAGAGTTAAGACTTCTTAAGCATCCAAAGGAACTGAATCCTTCTGTTGGGACACAACTTTTTAGAATTAGTTCTCTCTGCTTTACTGTTATTTAACAATAAATAATGGTGAGTTCAGTTAACTGATGTTTTAATCTAAAACTATTTCACCAAATCCTTGAGCAATCTCAGTGTTTGGGCTGAAGGCAAACCTCCCATGTTTTGTTGCTTAGAATTTTTCATTATTGAAATACAAAATTTGTGGGAAGAATAAAAACTTGTGCAGATTTCCTCAACACTTTTGACAACCAAGTTTGTTGTTCTATGCTAGCCAATGGGGGGAAAGAAGCTGTCATGGAGATACGGTCAGAGCTTTGGATTGACCGAAGAAATAAGCACATTGTGCCAACCCTTAAACCACTGATGTCATTTGAACTGTATTTTACAGGAGCGTGCTGGTCGATACTGTGGTAGCTTGCGAGTCCTGAACTCCTATTGGGTGGCAGAGGATTCCACTTACAAATTCTTCGAGGTGATCATGGTGGATCCCTTCCATAAAGCTGTTCGTCGTGACCCAAGAATCAACTGGATCTGCAAACCAGTACACAAGCACCGTGAGCTCCGTGGGCTGACCGCCGCTGGCCGTAAAAACCGCGGTATGCGTAAGGGTCACGGATACAACAAGGTGATCGGCAGTTCCCGTCGTGGATCATGGAAGAGGCGCAATACGCTGTCTCTTCGCCGATATCGTTAATTGTTTGATAATGATAATAAAACCAGCAACTGTACTATTTTGTCCGTTTATTGTTGTTTTTTAAGAAATAGCTTTCAAGGGAAATACTTACCTAGCGGAGAAATTTTTTGAAAACATCGATCGCCCCTTTTTTTATGATTTGTTGTCAGAAGTAGGAAGTTTGCTTGAAGTTTACCCACTAAAACGACTGACCTGGGCACAAAAAAAATGCTACCGTAGGAACTTTGACCTTACTTAAGTATCCTTAGTACAGATTCTTCCATATGCAAAATGTGAGGTGAAATAAACAGAAAAGAAAGGAAAGAAAACTCCTGGGAGTAGGGTATCCCTTTATTTAAAGGCTCAGGTTTGGCATGGTGAATCTTTCCTTAGTATGGTACATCTCTAATCGCTAAAGGGTATCAAGTCTCTGGATTGTTTTCGGAAAGGTGTCAAGCACCAGTTTTTTTTATTGGCATTTGTCATGTTATGGAAAATGAGTAGTAGATGGAAGTGACCGAGCCCTACCTTGTACTTTTTATTCTATATCGCATATTTAAGTAAAGATTATCAGGGTTTCCCAGTAGTGGCTGCCCATCGATGGTGTAGTAGATGGTATGGGGGCCGTACGGCGAAATCCAAAACACAAGCAATCTTGGCATATGGCGGTATGAGTTCATTAGGCAGCGGTAGACCAGTAATCGAATTCTAATAAGGGGATCGACAAACTCTTTCGATGCACCCGCAATCCTCTCTACAAAGGTGTGTGGATTTCAAGACTGACTTTGTAGTATACTAGTTCGGGAAATTACGAAGGAATGAGTTATCGTCGAGATACAAGAGCACGTGACATTCAAGTCTTGTTTTTGAACTTCAGAGTACACCGCCTGTACTGAACCGAGTCATGTTTAGTGTTCGTTTCAGTCTAAAGCCGCTGTCAGCTCTCCGTTGCTTTGATCTCTTCACTTAGGAATATAAGGAAACCTTTACAAAATGGACCAATCAGCCCATTTGAAATCTAGAATGATCGAGTACGTAGAATCAGTTTTGTGTAATTACACTGAAACGAACTGGAATACAGTCCACGTTCTAAATTGCTTGAATTGCTTTATCAGTGATATCGGACCAAGGGAAAAGCCCTGTTTACTTAACATGGCTTTAAAAAACATTGTTAGACAATTTTCTCGCAAAATTATCGCCTTAAGGATTAATTGGTTATCGACTAGCAGTTTTTCAAAGTGCATACGCAGCAAAGACTGAAAGGCTCAATAAACGCTTCGGTTTTTCGACCTTTACATACTTCGAGTTAGTCAAAAAACGTTTGACATGCGAAAGAACGGCTGGGAAGACGACTATGGCTAATATCAGTAGCAGCGGAAAAGTTTCTTTACAAACCGATCACTTCGGCGTGAACCGATTGTCATGTACTGCAGTGGCTCTGGTGCAATTTTAGCCTGTTTCAATTTTTCTTTATAAGGTCAGTTTTCTGGTAAAACTGCTAAAATCGTTTACTTGCGTTTAAATACTTAAAATTCCCTCTTTACTTTCCTTTCAACATTCACCGCAATTCTTTATTCCGGAAATTAGCATTTTGCTTAAAAAAATATTCGCAAACCAATCTTATTATTATCTTTGGTTGCTACGAATCATTTTGACACCAGCAATACTGAAACCGTTCAGGCAAACTTTTTTTCATTCGACGTTTCCAAAACGAATCAATTTGGAAAAATAATCACCAGCCACTGAGTGTGAAAAGCATCTTGTTTTCTTAGATGTCACCGTCTATTACTTTAAGGTAACTTAGGTAATCGCGATGGAAAAAGATTGCTTTTGTCTCCGACAAAAGACAGCAATTTTACGTCAACAAATTAGTGTTTTTCCGCTTAAAAGCTGCTAAAAGCTTAGGAAAATATTTTTTTGACGAGATCACGAATTTCACCAAAGAAGTATACCGCCAGGAAAACCATTCACTTCACGAAAGCGATTCCTCGATCGTTATATCAAGGAGAAGTTGCTTTTAAAAGGTAGTTTAATGTAACTGAGAACTAATTTTCTTTAGAACGTTATCAAATCCGATGTCGTTTAAACAGCATACAATATTAATAGAGACATTCAAATTGGGAATGGAAAATTTAGAGGAATGCCGGCGCGCCTGGCTGATTGTTTTTTTTTTTCTTTTTCTTTTCGTAAAGCTTCGCGACGCGAAAATGTGTCTAGAGCATCAATGCTATTGTCAAAAATGTTTGTAGAATTGTTTCTGGGCTTTCCAGTGTTGTTTCTGAGTTTAACAGCTTTGCTCTTAAATTTGCGAAGTTTTCCGCGATTTATTAAAAGGTAAAAGGTAGAATTGACCATGCAATTACCCTAATTTCAATTGCAATCGGATGTCGGCTATTGTTCCTCTCAAGGGAAAACATATCACGAAGCATATTGATCCAATGACTTATGAAATAATTTCAGTTCCATTCCTTTCGCCTCTGAATATAATCAGAGTTAAAAACCAGTCTTTAAGCTTCCAAAACAATTGGTAATTTATTGTTTTCCAAGCCATCAGTGAAATCTCGTAAATTATGCATTATGTTTTTATTTTTGCATCATTTCTTTCTGAGCCAATTTCTTTACTGTTTACCGGAGATTAGATTTGTTTTAACACGCCATTATTGTGTTCAAACGTCATAGACGATGGCGCATTCGCCTTTGAAAGGCATCAGATGGATATTGCGATCGTCCCCATTAAGTTACTTTGCTCTTTCCCTAGCCGCTGCCATGAACACAAAACCTGTAAAGTAACCACGTTCTCTCGCTTCATGATCTTATTAATTTACGCCCTCGCGTAATTTCCTTTATCCACTGAATATCAAATTTAATTATACCAGATTATGCATTCATTTTAAGATACCACGTTGGTGCGAAATTGGAAAAAAGCATGGATTAACTTAACTCCTCTGACAGGTTAGGCCAAGGTACAATGATAAACATGGGTTTTTGCCTGGTACAACTGTCACGATTAGCGACGTAATGGAGGCGCTACGGCTCTTTTGTCAGGTCAGTTAGTTGGCACAAAGGACTATTTCCTCACAACCTCACAAACAGAATCGACTGGAAAATTTATTAGGAGCGAAGGGGCTATCCACTCTTCGCTTACAACTCGGAATCCACGAGTATTTGCTATGGCTGAAAACCAATCTACAAGGTACCTTAGTCCATGTCAATTTTTGACTGACTCTTTCGAGGACCCTGAGAATTTGTACATTCACAATTTAATTTGTTCAGTTTTGAACTGCATATTCATGCTACCAGGCGTTTGTGGAAATGTACTGGTTATTTCAGCAGTGTGGAAAACTCCATCTCTTCAAACTCCGTCCAACGGATTACTTCTGTCTCTCGCTACTTCTGACCTGGCCGTAGGAATGTTAGCTCAACCTTCATTTTCAGTTTGGCGAATTTCGCAAATGGTAGGCGACATAAAAGTTCACTGTGTGGCAGGAGCAATGTCAGAGTCTTTTGGCTGGCTGCTCGCTGGTGTTTCATTGTTTACAATTACTGCCATCAGTTGCGAAAGATTTCTGGCTGTACACCTACACTTACGATATCATGACACTGTAACAAGACGTGGCATTGCCAAAGTTGTCCTCAGTTTTTGGTTAATTTGGATTCTTATCACTGTCATGAGATTTGTTCTCATAAACAGGAAAATTCTCAGGATCATTGCCGTCAATTTCCTGGTGCTAACCTCGACTATCATGTTTATAGCATATATCATGATTTTTAGGCTGGTTCGACGACATCAGATGCAAATTCAACAACAATGTTTCACGAGATCCCAAGCCAACGGCCGTAATCCTGGTAATAAGACCATTGATATGGTTCGATATAAACGGTCTACAATAACCATGTTATACATTTTAGGATTTTTTCTTCTCTGTTATTTTCCATTTCTGGTCGTTATGCTTGTTGAAATTGCCATTGGAGAGACTCTCCAAACAAAAGTTGCCTACTTGTACACAGTGACATCAATTTTTATCAACTCGGCAGTAAATCCGTTAATTTATTGCTGGCGTATGAAGGAAATAAGGATGGCGATCATGAAAGTTATCAATTCAGTGCGTGTTAACGCTATCGAGCCAGAGAGGTCAAGAAGTTGCGTTGCAACAAAAAGACATCCTTCTATCGAGTTAAAAACTATACAACCATCGTTCATTACGGAATATAGGGCATTTAGCGAGAGTAATTTAAATACTCAGATTTTCAACTCTATAAAATTTGATGTAAGTAACGACTCGAAATCGAGAGAAGTAAGTTCAGATGAAAATTATCCAACTCGATCATTGGAACGAATGTACAAAAACTGCACGAACTAGCAAAATAACTAATAATTTCCAAAATTTTCAGCTTATGTTATTAAAGGACTCGAATAGAAAAAAGCATGTCTGTGTTGGCAGAACATGAAAATGTTTTGATTACACAATCTCTTCATCCAATAACTTACACTAAAAACGTCTGAGTGAAAAATTTAATAGTTCATTTGAAGTTGTTAAATTCGATAAAAAGGAGTTCAAATTATCGACCCGTTTCTTTCAAGATTTCATATACCGGGTGTGATATTTTAGGATTGTGATCAGTTGCCAAAAATTAACTTTGATTCAAAACTAATCCGAGTATGGGTTTTTATTCAAAGAAGTATTTTTAGTCCTCGTACCTAAAATTGGTCGTTATCTGAATAATTATCTGTTTAAAACCAGAGATTTGCTGGTGCTGTTTCAGGTTTTCAGGTTTCATGGGTGGAAATTTTCTGCCGTACTCATTTTACTCCCGAAGTTAAGACGTAAATATGGAATCCTTAAATATGTGCGGATTCAATTTTTAAAAAACAGTTATTTTATCTTCATAAGAAGTATCGACCTACCTATTCACCTGTCATTATTCATTCTTAGTCATTGTCATTCAACTTTGGGTACAAGATATGTAGCCCTACCTCCCCCACAGCACTTTTCTTCACGGTCCCTAAACCTCACCCTACCCCCCTACTTCTGATGAAACTCAATCCGGTGTTCTGACCTAAATAATAGTCGCTTTAGGCTTTTTAATCGCTACTCCTGTCAGTGACACATTTGTGAACACCGACGAAATTCTTGCTTATATGCGTTCGATAAAAGTGGCATAAAATTTCTCATTGATAACTTCCCAAACTTAAGGGTCTGTTATTGCGTCAACCAAGGCAGTTTTTTCCCTCTTCCTTCCTTTGTTATGACAAAGTTCTAGAAATTTATTTTATGGCCAACATGTGTGCGGGCAAGAATACGTTACGATGTGTGAGGTATGTAGTTCAACTGTCTTTATTTTATTGATTATCACTCTCAGAATAAGCTGAATTATACAGGATCTCTAAAGTGCAAAGTTTTCTAACTTAGGGAAAAAAATCTTGGGTAAACCCCTTGAAGGGTCTACTTATTTCCTTTCACTGAAAGATAGTCCATTGAAAGTATTTGAAATTTTCATTCTTAAAAGTTCAGCACTACAGTGTACACGGTACAGATCCTTCTCTGACAAAATACACAATACTGGTATTATGTTCTGCGGTTTGAAAAAACAATATACCTTTTCTCTTGACTTCTCACTATGGAATATTCAGTCGAATCTTGGGATAACAGTCATATTCTGATAATTCTCCTTTGTCCCAAGTCACCGAATTTCAGTCAAATTTGATGATTGCATATCACGATCGCTTCGTAGGTCATATTACGTAATATCCAAGGATTTGACTTATATAATATTTCATGATATATATATATATCTATCTATCTATATATATATATATATATCTCTCTCTCTCTATGTATATATACATATATATATATATATATGTTTGAGCTTGAGAAGCTCAAATATCTTTTTTGCTACGACGCTAGGGAAGTCCTGTGGTCTTGATTTGTTTATGTCTACTTAAATAAACTCATCGTTTCGTTAGTTTTGTTTTATTCTCCATAAATACTTTCAGGTAATAATTATCGTCTTAAACGATTTTTTATCCGGAGGGTATTTCAGTAGCCTATGATAACTTAGATACTTGTATCATGTAGCTTAGACTTCTCTTAAAAATTTCATTTTTAGACACATCGTGTCTGTACTTCGCGTCTCTGAGCAAAAGGATCTTCGTCGCTCTGCGGTTTGCATCACGGGCTCAGTTTAACAAGACAGTGTTGATTTCTCTCATAGCCTTCTCAACGAATGTCAATGAGATGGCAGAACTTTCTCGTAATCAATGGTCAACTCTTCTCCCTTGCGGTGGAGTAGATCGTGTTTTTTTGTTTTGACGTAAAAATTCAAGAAACGCTTGCCCTGGGCTGTTCAGGCCAGGCGTTTCTTTTCACTGATGATCTTCGATAACTTTCCATGACTATTCCTTCTTCAGTCTCTTCAGGATTATGATTCAAATCAGGGTGCACTGCAGATTTCACTTTCATTTTAAAGCTAAAGATGAAAGGGAAGTAGAGAAATTAGTTGAATTTCGTCATTTATGAAAGGAAATGTCAAAATTCCTCACATTTTACTTAGTTGTCTTACTGGTTTTGCTACTTCGAATGAACGCTCCTCGAAAAAAACGCAAATAACTAACAACGTATACAAACTTTGGAAAAAACTACACGCCGTGAAACTAAGGAAACAGGCAACCCAGCTGCACTTTTAAATTCTTCAAGAATGAGTTGATCTCAGGATTGTTTTCTTGAGATTAAGATCGTCATGATTAAATAAAAAACGGGGGATTACGTTTTGAAAATTCTACGTCATAAAGTTTTCCTTGTGGGTTTTTTGACAAATTTTCTCTGGTAATGCCTATGCTGAATAATTTTTCCTTAAAAAAGCACTCTTGTACGGAAATACGTCACCTTACAGATAACACTTACTTACCAAACAACGACGATGATAATAATAACGGCTATTAGAACAACCAATCCTACACTGATACCAATCACAATCCATTTCCAGCCATTGCTGTTTGGCTCCAGTGGTCTCACTGTTGGGTATTCTGTAGGTGAGCTGGATTCGAATAAAGTCTCTATATCAGAGATGTTCGCGCCAATGGCTGCCTCGATCTCGGGCTTGTAAGCTTTTACAATGGCGACCAACGCGTCACGGGGAAGAACTGAGATATTTCCAATAAAAAGACCAGCAGGCTGCTGTACATAAAATGCAACCTGGAGAGAGTCTGATGAGTTGCTAGGGTAACCAGGCAGAAGATGAACCTGGTCAGCGGTGTAGAGGTCTAGGAATGGAGAGCGTCTGACAAGAGAAAAATTAGTTTAATAATAAAGCATCAATGTAGTGAGGGATGGAAATCATTGATCTGCAGAAATTATTCGTGATAATTTTTGGAAGCTTTAACGAGACACAGTAAGTTGTATAATCAGCATGGAAAAGTTAGTTTTGGATTAAAATCGATTTATAATAAACCATTACTTATTATAAACCAGTAAAAATTACGGAAGTTCTGCTCAGACACCCTATTACTGCCTTTTCAAGTGGAAAGGTGATGGGAAGAAATGAACTATAAACTAGAGGATACTGTCTGAGTTAGCACTAGATCATGCAGTGCTAAAATTAAAAGAAAAGCGAAAGGAAGAAGAAGTGGGCAGGAGAAATAACTGGGAAGAGGAACACTGGAGGTATCTGCAACCACGAAGGACTCTAACTGAAAAAGGAAGGCCCACAGAAAGCTATGTGCCTTTTATCTACAAAGATGGCGCACCAAAAACAAAAGCGTATTAGTTTCTGTTGTAATCACCTTTTTCGTCGTTTTTCTTTTAGTGAGCACGTTGTCCTGTTCTTACTGCAAAACTCGGATGTAGCAGACGCCAATTTCTCTTTAAAAGATTTATCTCTATCAAAATCCCACTCAACCTGCCAGAAAGAACATGAATAAAGTTTAATATTGTTTTGGAAAGACTCCATATTCCAATAGAAAACTATTTCAGCTCACTCAGATAACGTTTTGACGGCGGTCTGCACTGTAAAATTAAAACATATCGCTGCATACGAATTTCAGTGACATTAAAGTGCTTTGTAAAGAGCGCGGCCCGCCTTTAATCAGACGCTATGGTTAACATTATCGCATCTTGGGATTTCAGCTCACACATCCAACGGTTTGATTGACAACAGTTAAAATCACCAAAGAGACTCGAGTATTCCCAAAGCAAAATCTGTTGACCAATCATAGCTGACTAGTTCTGGATATGCAAATTATTATGCCGCGTATTAAAAAACTGGGCACCGTAAGTACATGTCGCGAAAGACAATAGCATTCTGGGCGATTAGTCATGCAGAGAAACGATGTTATGAGAAAATTCATCTGTAATAGATTTCAGGTCATTGGCCATTCGAGATTCAACCTGTTTGGAAAAGGTTGGGCCTATTTATTGCTTGCTAGTTTACTCGCAAGAGTTGGCCATCATAGTTCCTGGAAAATATTCTACACGCGCACTTTTTTAAAGCAAGAAAGCGCTATACACTTGTGCAAGAAACCTAATAAGCTTAAGGGCGTACCCTATATGGGTATGCGATATGAACATGGGCGTTGATGAATATTATTCTCTCGCAACTAATGAATCTTCTACCTGGATGTGTTTTACTTGTCTGTTTCCTGGCATAGACTGTTTAGATGACTCTTATTGCAATACTACTACTCAGCAACGGTCAGACAATAACGATTTTCATTCTGACGTTCGCATGTTACGGGGTTTCAAGATTGCTCATTTAAACGTTAATCGTTTGGTAAACAAACTCGATCATGTAAAGGAACTCGTCCACAAACACTCCTTCGACATCTTGACTCTTTCTGAAACCTGGCTAGCTCCAAATATTTTGGACAATGAGATCACGATACCAGGGTACTCGCTTGTGCGTAAGGATAGACAGTGTTTGACCAAAAGTTGTGGTGGAGGAGTTTTAATTTTCGTCCGGGATGGAATCCCCTTTGTCGTTATGTCTGATCTCATAAAGCATAACTTTGAATGTCTGTGGGTGGAAATCAAGAGACCTAAATGCAAACGAATGATACTGTGTTGTTCTTACAGACCTGATGATGGGAACATCGATGGTTTTATTTCAAATCTAGCTGATTCGCTAAATTACATCGACACTGAAAACTCCGATATTGTTTTGGTGGGTGACTTTAATATTGATTATTCCACCAAGAATCAGTTACGCCGTAAACTTGATGAATTTGCATTACAACACAGTCTTTCTCAGATTATTTGTAAACCTACTCGGGTCACTGAGAATTCTAGCACCACGATAGACTTGATGTTCGTTAACAACACTCACAGGGTCGTGCAGTCCGATGTTCTGCAGTCAAGCATCAGCGATCATAGCATTGTGTTCTGTACTATCAAGGGAGGTGTAAAGAAACTTCCACCAAAGTTGCTCGAGTATCGTTGTTTTAAAAGCTACAACAAAGAAGCATTCTTGCGTGATCTCAGCAACTTACCTTGGAGCATAATAGAAAGTGCTAATGATGTTGATGATGCCGTGTTCCTCTGGGAAGGTCTTTTCAATAGCATTGCAAACGACCACGCTCCGATAAAATCAAAGCGTGTGAAGGGGACAAAGACACCGTGGGTTACGAACAAACTCCTCGAAATTCGGAGTGATCGAGATTACCACTGGAAACAGGCTCAGAAGTGTAAGAACTCGCAGTATCACTGGCAAATGTACCGAAAATTGAGGAACTGTGCGAATAGCGAGGAAAAGAAGCTGAAATCGAAATATTATTGTCGGCTGATAGAAGATGCTAAAGGTGACAGCTCCAAGATGTGGAAAGCAATTAAAGAGACACTTCCCTCTAACCACAATGAAATTAATGCAGTCTTTGGTCATGGAAAATTGCAGACTGACCCCAAAGGCATTGCAGAAACTCTAAACAATCACTTTTCAAGCATCGGCAAGAGCCTTGCAAAGGCCTTTCGTGGTTTAAAACCGACTCAGTACGATGCAGTTCCTACCTTATCGTTCTCTCTCAAGTATGTGACGTCAGCCTTTGTTGAAAAGCAGCTGCGCCTAATGAAAACCAATAAAGCGGTAGGACTAGATAGCATTAGTGCACGTTTACTCCGTGATGCAGCAAATGTACTTGCTTCACCTCTGCGGGATATCATAAACCTCTCTTTTGAGAAGGGTCAATTCCCATCATCTTGGAAATGTGCGAAAGTGACTGCTCTTTTCAAAGAAGGTGATAAGTCCGATAAAGATAACTATCGTCCCATTTCTTTCCTGCCCACGGTCAGTAAAGTAATTGAGAGAGCTGTTCATTCTCAACTTTACGGCTACCTTGACTCCAACAATCTGCTTGCTGTGAACCAGTTTGGCTTTAGACGTGCAAGATCTACCGCTTTAGCTCTAACGCAGTTTACCGATGAAGTGCTAAGTAATATGGATAAAGGTTTAGTAAATGGTGTAGTTTTTATTGATCTGAAGAAGGCCTTCGACACCGTTGACCATGTCATTTTACTCGGGAAGCTCAAATCTCTAGGATTACGCAGCAAGAATCTGGAGTGGTTCCATTCCTACCTATCCTCTCGTTACCAGAAGACTGTGATTGGTCAAGCCTCTTCTCCTGCGCGGAAGGTTTCCGTTGGTGTTCCTCAGGGATCTATTCTCGGTCCATTACTATTTGCCATTTACATCAACGATCTACCCAAGGTCCTTCGGAACACTACGGTCACCTTATTCGCTGATGACACTGCTATCTACTGCTCTTCTCAATCAGCCCGTGACCTAAAGACCATGTTGAATCAGGATCTAGACAGGCTAGCTCAGTGGCTCTACGAGCATAAACTTACACTAAATATCTCGAAGTCTAAATTCATGCTCATTGGCGGTCCAAGGAAACTTAACACCTTAGAAGAATTCACATTAATAATCAAGGAGAAGGAGTTAGACAGAGTCAATTCGTTCAAGTATCTGGGCGTAATTATCAATGAGAATTTGTCTTGGACTGATCATGTGGATTACATTAAGACCAAAGTGTCTCAGAGGCTTGGCGTTTTACAGAGAATAAAACATCTTCTGCCAAGAAATACAAGGGAACTCTTTGTAAAAGCCATGGTGCTGCCAATCCTTGATTATGCAGATGTGACTTGGGGGGATAAATCCAACACCACTCTGATGAACAAGATCCAATTACTCCAGAATAAAGCAGCTAAATTAATTTTAGATATGCCAAAGCATTCATCAGCAACAGAAGCTCTTGATCTACTTGGTTGGGATACATTGGAAAAAAGGCGAAGATCACATCGTCTATTTTTGGTTTTTAAGTCCTTGAATGGACTAATTGATTGGAATTTTAATTTTAATCATTTTAAAGATATACATGATTATAACACTCGTTTTAATAACAACATTTGTAAACCACAATCAAAGCGTACATGGGGTCAGCATCGTTTTGTTTGTCATGCAGTAGATGACTGGAACGCTCTCCCAGACGGCATTAGGAACATTTCCGATTTTTCAGTTTTTAGACGTCTTGTTAAAAACATGTAGTCTCTTCTATTGATTATACCCTTTTATCCTATTCTTGATGACCATATTTATATTTTCTGTTATCCTTACGTTAGATTTATGCAGGGCCTCACTGAAAACCACACTTTGTGACGTGGGCTCCCTGTCAAAAGATCTTATTTATTATAACATTTTTGTCATATGATCTGCAGCACATGACGTCATTTCTATAACTCGAGGTACCTACCCCACTTAGAATTGAAAACTGAACAGCTTCTTGCTTCTCGTTTTGTGATGGGACACGTGGCTCAGCCAGGTCTGGTATAGGGACTGTCTCGTTTTTCTCCAAACCTGGGTAAATATTTAATATGTAAGAAACCTTTGAATAATTACACAAAATATACTTATAAGTTTTCTTCATCACTTTCGATCAGTTTTCGAGTTTTGCAAAGAGTATTTCTTTAAGACTAAATCTCCCAACGTCCTATCACAGGTGCCGCAATCTGATTGGCTATGTACTCATTATTTGCTCCGTTAAAGATAGTGAATAGAGTGAGTGGCCTAACAATGCGCAGTTATGAACAAAGTAAGGAAATGGTCATTATTTATTGCCAGGGGGGGAGGAGTTTGTTTGTACCTGATCCTTCCATAAGGCTGTGTAATATTTTTATGACCCCCCCTTTCTATTTTGTTGGCGACGACTGATCTCCTTCCATACCCCCTAAAAATCATGTAATCCCCCCCGAAAAAAATCTGATCCACCCCCTGGCGATAAATAAGAGTGGTTACTAATGTAGCAACAAGAGCCTGTCTTATTGTTAAACGCTTCACGACTAGTAGATTGAGCTTTCGATATTTGAGCTTGATATGACTGTCAAGCTCAAAATTCAACTGTCAAGTATCAAAACGCAAAGAGCAGAATGACACTCCAATGCATATCCCAACTTCCAGGAAATTTTCGTCTAAAAATGATCAAATACCTTTGCATTTTCCATCAATGAAGTACAAGTCTTGATCACATTCACACTTGTAAGAGCCACGAGTGTTGACGCACTTGTGAAACTCATCCGTGCAGTTGAACAAGTCATCATTCAGACACTCGTTGATATCTGCATGGCAAACACGTTGAAAATCATTAATTAAGGCAAAAACTTATTTCAAACGGTCGTTTGTCTGTAAATGCATTCATTCTCTACACCTCTTTGTTATCAATTAAACTTATATAGAATTTAGTTATTTACCTTCACACTCGTAGCCATCTTTCTTCAATTCAAAACCCCTCTCACACGAACACTTATAACTTCCTGGGGTATTTGTACAAATCTGATTGCACCGATCAAGTTCTTTAGCTGGATCACATTCATTGATATCTACAGAGAAAAAAGTACAACGGCTTTAGTTGGTGCTTCTATATTGTATTTCAACGTTTCAAGTAACATTTCGTTGTCAGTTGGTATCAGCCACAAACTATCCAAACGGTATCAGTTCTATTTCTTCGTAACTAGGGAAACAAGTGAGAGTAAAGCTGGCACGTATGTATCTTATTGCACCACATGCGTTGTGGTAAAGGAGTCTACAAATATAATCTAAATAACTTTATAACTTGTTTAACACTCAAAAGGCTCTTAAACATTCTTTCTTTAGTTCTCGTTCCAAAAAAAGCACTGAGAACGATCTAAGGTTGAAGAAGAAAATAAAAGCTTACCTGTACAGTTCTTTTCATTGCTGTCCAGCTCGTAGTTAGCAAAACAAGCACAAGTTGCTTCATTGCTGCTTCCCTGGAAGCAAACGTGTTCGCAGCCATGATCAGAAGAACAAGGTTTTTTAGCTGCGAAGTGAAGGGAACAGTAGTATTATAAGTAAATACCGTTGTTTGATGCTGTTGATCCGATATGGCGGAAGAAGTCTTTTTCAACTTGAGCTTTGCCTTCCTTGCATATTAGCAGAGAAAAATATGTACGAGGCAATTGTACAAAAAGAATTCTTCGAACAGATGTATTGCTTAGCTCGATCGCTCGCTCGCTCGCTTCGGATGCCGCGGTCAGCATAAGATGACAGTTTGCATGTTGGAAGATGTCTGATAAGAAAAAACATGAGGCCTCTCAGTAAAGACTAACTCACCTACACACTTTCTCCAGTCACTAGGATCAGTTTTGAAAAACTCGTTACATGAACAGTTGTAACTTCCCTCACTGTTGATACATTTTTGCATACAGTCGCTGGATGGATTGCATTCATCAACATCTACGTGCCAAAAAAGAATATAACATTTGTTTTTTATCATCGAGGGAAACCTTAGGCGTCTTATTTAAGGGGAATGCCAGGACGTCAACATTTCGCCCTCCAAGGTTTAAATTGAGTTTGAATCAAACCAATTCTAAACCGTGATTAGTGCTAGGGAGGACTTGTTGGGACTTTTGTAGAGTGGGTCATTGGGGAGGCTAGCTATGAACTTTACGCTGAACGAGGGCTAAAAAAGATAATTTAAGCTTTAAATTAGGGACTTTCTTTTGATATTTCATGCGTAAATTTGATAGGAAATGTTGAGTTGACAAGTATGATGTTTACGTCAACGGAAAAAAGAAAAATGAACTACGATTTCATTATCTTGGTCTAGTTCCACATTAAAGCTAAGTGCCAGAACTTCTCCTCTAATCTTACCGTAAAGTTTCAGGAGTTTGAAAACAAAGGTCTTACCATCACAGCTGCGTCCGTCTTCATTTAGCGAGTATCCATCACGACACTCACAGAAGAAAGAAGTTGGAATATTGACACATATCTGCTCACAGTTGTTTGATGAATTACTTTGGCATTCGTCATAGTCTAAGGAAAATATTGCATAATATTTAAGCAGAATTTTATGATTGATTTTATCATCGTAGACATCTATAATAGATAATAATTTTCAGAAAATTTCCCCGATAAAAAAATGCAACTCCTGACTGACCTGGTGTAATGGAAATGTTAGTGACATTTCTGAGGAAAAGTCGCTCGTTGTTGTCAGGTCGTATATTGTGTTCTATTCACAGTTTTGGGGGAGATTAGGCAAGAGGGGGGCGTTTTGATGCAGTAAGTCATTTTTTCAGGAGAAGAAGAAGCAAAATATATATTAAACATTTTTTGGCGATATATCTTACACTTACAAAGTTTTTTTCCATGCAGTGTTGTTTCATCTATATTCACCTTCACTCTTTCACTCCCACGATATCATTAGGAATTCTCCTTACTGTCTGCCGTACAATTCTTGAAACTTTGAAACTTGGGGAATATCACCTGGGTGATATCCTCGGATATCCTGTCACGTAATGTGTTTAGACCAATCTTGCACGAGGAAAACTACTAGATGGATCATAATTTTCGTCATTCCCATTACTTGTCTGCTCGATATTGTATTGGTACTGTAATTAAAATTTTGTCTTGGTCACTCATGGGAGTTAAAGGATTAAGGAACATTCTATCAAATAAAACCCCTGAAGGTCTTCCCCACTTGAACTTTATTGAAAAATCTACAAGTCAACCCACCAGTACACTGAGCTCCATTTCCAGTGTACCCTGATGGACAGGGTCCACATTTATATCCACTGGAATTAGCTGGTGCAGGAAGATCAATACACTCAACTCCCGCGTAACACGGCTGACCATTCATTTCGCAGGCGTCAATGTCACTGTCACAGAACCTTCCTGTGTATCCTCCCTGACATGCGCAGCCCATGTATATAAACTTGTTATCAGTGTTGGCTGTGTCGCCTTCTTCTGGTTCCACGCACTGACCACCATGTTGGCAGGTGCACATTCTAATGGTTGGACTCCAACTGACGCTTGCACCTTTATCGTCAGTAGCAACGAAGGTCATGTTAAACTACAAAGGAAGAAAAACTTCGTATGTGGATTCTGCCCCTTTGTCGATTTGCCGGGGTTACTTTTTTAGAGCAAATTGAACTGTAATTCTGCAAAGAAAATGTTTAACGAAAAAGTTTTCAATTGAAAAATTTACCTTTTGTGATGACGTTACGGGCCAATGAAATGACAACATGTTTACAGTCTGGTTCCACGTGGCTCCTGCAGGTTTGTTTATCACGTGAAAAGTAATGGAGCCCTCGTCCTCAGCTGTTACATTCAGCTCAACTGTTTCGCCAAGTGTGGCATATATCAAATTTGAAGCGTTTACTATCTTAGGCGGGAAGTTGTCTGTAAATATTCCAAAAAAATGAAATATGCTTAGGTTAAGATACAAGTGACTATTCTTCGAGTTTTAAATCCCAAAAAAGTTTCGTAAAGTCGGAATATTCTGATTATCGCCATATTGTCTAATGTCTAGCACTTATGGAATCGTTGCACATCTATTGGCGTATTCTAATTACGTCTGTATTACGCCAGTCCAAAACATTTTTTCAGTAAAATATGGTCCTGCGTTGTTTGCAAACGATTTTTGCTTTTATGGCGGAGAGCGATTTTCATAACTTGTTCGCGTAAAAGGAAGCCACTTAGGAAGCCAAAAGATAAAAGGAGAAAAGAATTTGAAACCCGAGAAATCTCCAATGACCAAACCGACATTTTCTCCTGAACTAACCCAGTGTATTCGACTCGTTCACCAGCTGGACGCTTATATCTTTGGTTACCATGCCAACAGACAAGTCGTTGGTGGAAGCCACGTCAAACAGACATTCGTGATCATCTCCACATTGTGCTTCAGCTTTCTGTCTTAGACTGTCATTATGCCATGTGATGTTATCAGCAAACATGGGCTCAAATTCAGGTTTCGAATAAGTGGCCACGCTTTCATTATCAGCGTAAGTGAAGAGAGACTGGGATTCGTTGATTTGCCCTAGGAGATATTATCATTAATTAGTATAATTGCTCAGGTGATTATAGAGATGGGTGCGCTCTGATTGATGGAGAAGTGCATCATATCACGCCACAGTCACCTTACGCGAGGTGATTATGGCAGGAACGTTAACCTTCAGAGAGGCTGTCTCGCGTTTTGTCAATGTTTTCGCGGAAGTGATGAACGTGATAGCAAAAAAAAACCATTGCGAAGAGCACAAAAGATGCTATTGAGTTAGGCGGAACACATTTCAAAAAGGAGATATGATTTTTTTGCTTATTTAATTGAGTAAACCTGCCAAACTCCTTTCTTATCTTGATACGAGTAATCACCACAACTGTACCACAATATGCTCAATGCTTTCTCTATTTATACAACAGAATTGGAAAGTACCTGAACAATTATACAAATACAATTATTCGTCCCAGGCTCAGTGAACGTTGTTGAATAATCCACTCGGCTACGTCCCTGAGATTATTCAACAATGTTGACTTCGCCTTCGGCGAATAATTGTTAAGTTAGGAAAGAATGGGTTAGACACATTTACAAGATACAAAATTATGTAAAATTAAGACTAGTAAAGTTAAAACGGAACGGATAATATATCCTCCCATAATCTGCCTGTATGACTAATAGAGCAAGCTTCTATTTTTAATTTACTTCTGTTTCTTTATTTTACCGCCAAACGTTCTCAATTTTTAATTATACAGCTTGATAGATATAAAACTGCTATCAGCAAAAAAGTTATGTCTTTCAAAATGTGTTGAGAACTTTTCGCTTTCCTTAGAGTAGCGACTGCAAGTAAAAGAATTGGTCTTCCCTTATCCCAATTTCTGGTTCATTAAACAACTAGAGATCTCGTCTCTCCTCCTTAATGAAATTATGGTCCGTCACAGGCTGCTTGAGCTTCTCCTGGAAGTTCACTGGTAATCATTCATGTTTTGTGTCTGCAGTTGCAAGATCTCTTTTAAAGGGTATGGTCTTTACTCGCAACGCGAGCAACAGTACAATAACACGCGACGATCATTCGCCGTATAGTAGTGCGCCCAAACACTAAGAGCCAGAACACAAGGATCAATCCTTGATCCTTGGCACTTGCCAAATTCGTTGTGAAGAAGTTTAATGCGTTCATATAAAATAATATGGTACTTACATTTGACTCCAAATCCGTAGTGAATCTCTTTTAGTGATGACGTCGATGGCAAAACCGTCCCGTCGGGCAGTGTAAAGTCATCCTTAGGGTCATCGTTCCATGTTCCCAGCAATCCTTTTGTGGCGTTTTTCAAGACATCACCAAGAGTTACAACGAACGACATCATTTCCTTATTCTCGCAGAACTGTACTGACGATGTCGACGGGAAAGAAACTTGTAAACAGTTTTCCTCTGGTTTTGAGATGGAAAGATTTCCACCAACCTCCACAGTTCGATTTGTTAAATTGCTGTAGCCATTATAGGGTGTACTGTCAATCAATATATGGAAGCCTCCTAATAAAGTCAAATCGCAAGAGTTGGATTCTATTGGCTCTAAATCGAAAACTACCTTAAGAAACTCTTTATGGTGGTCAATTTACATCATCAAATCAGATGATGAAACCAAATTTTCCTTGTTAAACTCCCCAACGACGCAACACAAAAGTTTCTTTACAATATTACCCCTTAAGAGGTTTTCGTTTTCCTACATGACAAGCTCTTTATAGCATTCTCACCTCCGTCTTTAACTCGAACCTCGATGGTGCTCGAGTTTTTTTCTTTAGCAGCTCCTGCTGAGAAGATGGTTGCTGTGGTTGAGTTTCCTTGGGCAAGTTTTGTTCTGGCCTGAAGATTAAATGTTCCATTTTCTGCATCCACCATAGTGTATTCACCAAGACCGTTAAACGTGTAATTCCCACCGTCCAGTGTCTTGATATGCGGATCACCCCAGAACCACCCTGAATTAAAAGAGAAACACTCCTCTTATCTTGCTTGTGTTGCAAAGAATCTGAACTGTATAGAGTGAGTGGCTTGAGCCCAAGAGTAAAAGTTGACAAAGCTCTTTCTAGACAACTCTCCAGTACATGACAGTTGCGAAAGGTAACCTTTAATTCCAAAGTAGTTTTACCTGACCCGTGGCTTAAACTGACAAATTAACAATAACATGACAAGATTTACAAGAGATGACAAAGGATGATACAATAGGGTTTCGTTTTTCTATAATATAACTATCATTATGTAAAACTCACGTCTAATTGGAGGCCTATACAGCGAGCAGCTATCAGACGGACGATAAGCATAGAACAAATGGCAGAAAGGTAGATCCACACAGCAATACTGGTAAGCCTGTTCATCTGTGTAAAAGGTTTGGACGTGATTGTACCAGTAATAGAAAAGTGTCACTTTTACCCGTCCACCATCAGGAGGTCCCTGCTTGAGAGAGGCCCAGTCTTCCGATTGCGTGGAGTAACAGCATTGTTGTCTCATCGAAACACCAACTAGTCCAGTAATCCTGGTGTACAGATAAATGAACCTGGATCTTCTGGAATCAAAACACCAATCTGGCCACGAGTTCCACCAACTCCATCTGAATCGCCCCCAATCAAACCACGCCTGCCACCCAGTGCAAGGGCAAGCCATTTCCCGGTCTGATTCTATGAGTCGTTTATACCAGTAACGGAATCTCAAGTGTTCATTAAGTATGGCCCAACTAAAGCATTTCTCCAGTGCACCTTCTCCATCGCTGTTTTCAATTCTCCAAAAGTATCTTCCCTGCACACCCGTGTTTCCTTCCTTCTTATCGAGGTCATACATTCCAAATGTACCAGAACTACAATCACAAACATTTAACTCAAAAACAATCTTTCGCTATCGTCATTTTTAGTAATTAGAATATGGGGTCGAGATTCTATCGGTTCGCAGTGAGTGAGGACAAGAGTCGAGTGATCTTTCGCGCACAGAAATCGATAGCGAATAAATTAATAGTTATTAAACGTTTGAAGTTGTCCTTTTGTAGCATGTTGATTAAATTGATGATTCGATTGAGGCCTTGAGCTACTGTATTTATTTTTTGTTCCAAGCTTTCGCCGATCTTCGGCATCGTCAGGGAATGTCTGATACCGCAGATCGGTGAAAGCTTGGAATTAAAAATAAACATTAGTTCGGGGCTCAATCAAATTGCCTAGTTAATCGTTATTGCATAGATTTAATGCTTATTCAAAACTTAACAATAAGAAAGACTTTTTTTTATCAAATAATGATATAAGTAAATCACAATTTTAGTCTACTCTCTTTTCTCGCTAACCATCATAGAATAGATGGCGAGTAATGTAGCCAATCAGATTGCATCACCCGTGATAAAACTCTAATTGATTTATACTGATATAGAAATTATATATACGTTGGGTTTTGGGGCTCTGTAAGAAATTCCAGATTAAATTTGAAGGTTTACACCCATTTGCACCAATTACAGCAGGTAGCCTGAAAATTCTCTGAATCGAAAAATAAACTAATTTTAAAATTGTAAAGAATCATTGAGAAAATTTCACGTGTAAACATAACCTTTATGAGTTGATTACGTGGACGGACTTTACAAACACTGTCACAACGAATTGCTCTATTGAAGAAAATCAGACGATTTTTTCTAGTCAAGCAGGGGATGTTCTACTACAACTCATTAATCAAGCAAGTAATGATATATGGCTCTACTGCATGGACTTCCTGTTCTGTGGATAATCTCATCAAAGTCCTAAAGCTACAAAAACGCGTAGCTCGTGTTATATTAAGTGCAGACAACAGGGACAAGAGTTTTAAGCTCTTCTCCTGATTAGGATGGCTTCCATTTAACGATGAAGCAAAAATAAATCAGTGTTTACTCATTCATCAGTGCCTAGTAGGTGATTGCCCTCAATATATGAACATTGTAATGACTAGGAATTCAGATATACATCATAGGAAAAGTCGATACGGACAATGGAACCTTGTCTGTAAGAGATTTAATAGGGAAACTGAGGATGGCAGGACGTTCTCAGTAAGTAGTGCAAGACTTTGAAATTTGTTTACAACCTGAGTTAAAGACAAAATTAAGATGTCAAATCCAAATTTAGATCTACGCAAATGCCTGAACGCCTACTTTTGCCATTTGAATGAGGACATTCGTCATTTTAAAGTAAATTAGCATTGCCATTTTATTTTACTTTTTTTAATTGTTTTCTATTTTTCCCTTTTTGTATTTTTATCAATGTTATATATTTGTTATATATATTTTACTTAATGTTATTTTTAGTGCAGATATATATATATATATATATATATATAGGATATTTTTAGTATATAAATAGGATAAGTTTGATGTAGGAGGGCCACAAGTTTATCAGTATTGTAACTAACAATAACAATAACAATAATTTATTAACCACGTTATCGTCTAAGAGCACAAGAGCTCGTTCAAAATACGAAAACACGAACTGTTTCGTGCTACCCTCGATAAATAAAGTTGAATTGACTGATTGATGAGCATTCACATCCTTTAGCTGCTAACCTGGCTCTTTCATATCAGGTCATGCATTATTTCCTTTGTGGAAGAATGCACGAGTTCCAATCATCCTGTTTCTTCGTAGTTTAATACGCTATTGACTAATGGAGATTGTTTGGGGTATTCAGCCCTTTAAGATACTAGAGCGAAATAAACAAATTTATATTCACATTCGATTCATCTTACCCTTTCATATTGGTATAATCTTTGCCGTCGTTCCCTGCATTCCAGCCAGCCACAGGAAGACCATAGTAGTTCGTCCAGTAACGGTAGTTATTCCTGCAATATTGTCGAGAAAATTCTAACTGTTACGTATTCTCTCAACTGTTTTGCCCGGTTTCATGAATTTCTGGTTCTTTGGCGATATCCCTACTTCCATCGCAAACACATTTCAATGTTTTTTCTTTCAATCAAAAGCAATTCTTAAGCCCTTGAATTAATTTCATCGGAATACCATATTGTAGCTCTTTGATAAAAAGTACGGATGGTGAATAGGAAGAATTGGTAAGCCAATTTGAAACCAAGAAATCATAAAAAAGACCATATTGTAATCTAAATGAATGTGTCAGACACAAATATCAAAGAATCCTGATGGGACCTACTAACGTCAGACAAAGTTTATAGTTGTTTCAGGTTCACTTGATATGCAATTTTCGTATATATTTTTATATTCTTTTTCTTCTAGTTTTCAATTAGGGGTGTAGGAAACTTACGGATCTGCGTTGATCACCCACTGAATTCCTCCATAGGGATAATTATACATCAAGAATGTGTTAAATCCGTTCGTTATCAAGACAGCTTGGAACGTGTTACTCTGGAAAACAATAACAACGCAGGAACACTTCGGATTTTGATACTTTGAACTAGACCTAAACATTTCCTGATAGATGTATACTTATCTCGAATGCAACAAGTCAAGTTGCTGCAGTACGTTATACTTCATGACTCATACGTGCAGTCATCACTTCTGGGTTGATAATGTTAATGAACTAAGTGGAGTATGGTTTAGGGAGTCATAGGAATTGTTACTTCGAATAACTTGCAATTTTCCCGAAATAATGGCAGGCAATCTTTAAGTTTTCTTCTCTTGATGTTCAGATGTTAAAAATCTGTAAAGTATGGTCAATCTTTCCCTAACCCGGTTTGAGCTCTCACTAAGCCGACAAATAAAAGAGAATAAAAGAGAATAAAATGGAAATCCCTTCTGTTTTTCGTATTTTTTGTGCTTTTTCAGGATTTGACGAACTCGTCAAACCAAAAACTCAGACACTGTAAGGTCCAATTGAAAATAAGCAACTATATGTCGTTAACTCACATGGTTATCTTGGAGTTATGATAATTAAAAAAAGTGTACATGCTTACTCGAGGACAATTCAACGAAAAATCCTGATTGTAGTAATAGTAGTATGAATAATAAAAGTATGGACAGAGCTTTTTCCACGTCGCAACCAGGACCCAAGTGGCTTTAAAGTTATCAAATCCTCCGGTATAGTTCTTTACATGGTTTGAAGCCAGATCCAGAATTTCATTTGATTTTTCTTGCGTTTGTCTGTACACTTGGTAATACACCTTTGAATGACCTTTGCTGAATGCAAAATAAGTATCAGTTGTAGCCCAGAAGGGTGCAATAATACCCATGTTTCTAAACCACCAGTAGATACCGAATTTCCGAGGCCACCACCAGCTCCACTCATAATTCAACTGGATTATACCATTTCGACAAATCTAGAAAAAGGGGTGAAAAGAATGATAAACTTACTAACGAGGCTTGTAACACTGCATGTTAGCATAATTCCAGAGCAACTACTTCTTTCGTAAATTACTCTAACCCTCGGCTGCCAAGTTTACTTGGCGAATTCATTATTAACAAAAGAATCAAAATAAAGACTGCTGTTCTCCAACTGGGGCGGAACACATTTGCATCTGAGGCATAATACATTTATAATGTGATAAAGTACGAGGATATAAGCATATGTTTTAGAGACTTCGCTTCTTATTCTCCACCTATCTCGCGATCAAGACATACGCTCGATGAGCTTCACATGCTTTATGGAGGAAATTTTCAAACACAAAAGGGCAAGAAAGCAAGATGTCTCTTAAAAATCTCTCATAACAAATAGTTGACCGAGTGATTTTTCTCAGGTAGTCTTAGGATGTTCATGCGCTTTGGATTGGAGCAATATTACTCTCATCTTCTTTAAAATTTTCTCCGCGCACCTTCAGCGCAAAAAATTTCTATTGGTTGAAAGGAAAATCATTCTGTTAAGTCTCTAGTAGAATAATTTTACTCACGTATAATTTGTAATGCCTTTCTGTGAAAAACGGAAATCCAGTCCAATCTGTGTTGATCTTCAAACATTGGTCGTAGGAGAAAGAAGTATCTTCAAGACGAAGTTCATTATCCTTCTGATCTGGACCGTGAGGATACAAGTTGCTAGGGATTTCTTAGAATTAAAACAAAAATTAAAACAAGAAGTACATCAGTGACCTGCTCCATGACTTTTCTGGACCGCGCTATTATATGGCATATTTCACAACAGATAATTTAATTATGGCTTAATGTCGGAACCAGTTTAAACCGAAATAACTTTTCCTTTCTTGAAACATAATGACAAGAAGCTTGGCAACCATTTTCTCCAGTTTTTCGGTGTACTATGTTATTACAAATATTATGAAAGGGAGACTTCTTTCTTTATTGGAGGTGTATTGCAAATCAGAAATTTCAAATTAAGCCATGTTAGTGAAATATGTGTGGGAAATGTTTGTTGTCCTCAACATATAAAAACCAATCAGAACATTGAAGAATTTCAAAATTAAAACATAAATTTCCTTCGCTGTCATTAGTTTCAAAAGAGAATACTTATTTTCATTAGAGTTTGAGGCCATCTGCAATAGTTTCGAATATTCTGGCGAGAGCAGGTTTAGATTCGATGAATTCACATAAAAAAGGCACAGAAGAAATGCTTTCTTACTTGTTGCAGCAGCTGAAGAGAAAAAAAAAAAAGAAACGCGATTATTAGATGCAAAGTATGTTATTTCTATGAGAAGAATCTCATCTATATCTGATTCTTGTTAGAAGAATACTAGTTTTTTCCCACTGGAACAAAATTCTGTAAATATATACTAGGTAAAGTAATTTTTAGCAATGTACTGTATATAAAGAATAATTCATGGAAAGTCTGCCCGTATGATATTTACGCACGTGACGGTAGTATCGGAAATCGAACGAGTGAGATTTTTGATTCAAACCTACGAGATCGTAAATATCATATGGGCAGACTTTGGTGTAAAGTGTCTATTATATACATACGGAGATTTAATTCTTGTAAATGACAATTTTTTGTTCATCAGATTTAAGTTTAACTCTCATAAATCGATCATGAAAGATGTAAATCATGTAAATTGCCTTGTGTGAAAATCAACAAAACACCTGTCAACACTTGACACAAAACTTCTTAAGCTTAAGGGTTAATAATCTTCTCTGTCTTTTCGTCAAATGGAGCGAATGAACTCCTCAAGATACATGTTCAATTTCCTCGTTCTTTCCGTCTCAAAAATGATTTGAACAGTTTTAAATCTCCCTGCTTTGTTTTCTCATCGTTTTCTTATTTGAGCTTTTTTTCTGCATGCTTTCTATTCCACAGAATCCTGCACAGAAGTACCACAGTCATCTTTAGTAAATAACTTGGCATAGAAAACAGTCCTGAGGGCGGATTTGAAAAAACATCGCGAACAGTCTGAAAAGCGAAATTCTGCCAATGAAGGTTGAATTACAGTCGCTTTACATGTGAAAAAAATATGATACGCGGTTCCCTAATTGGACGTATCGATTTCCTCACACGTGAAAAAAAGCGATACGTACCATTTGATTGGCTCTCGGCTTCTTCGACCAGCTTTCAAATGAAGATTTATTTCGCACCTATTCAGTTTGTTAAATCTCAGTATGTACATAATAAAATACGGTACATGTAAGAAAGGAACGTAACACATCTTTAAGTAGGTTATGAAAAACAATGTACTAGTGATTTTGTTTTATGCTTTTTGTTCCAAAAAGTAACAACATCAAGAGCAGACATGGTTTGATGCTACTCTGGTTTACAGATTTAATGAATGTAACCAAAGAAGTTACAATTCATAGACCCAACGTTTAGACACTCCTGTCTAGTGCCTTCATCAGGGGTAATCTAAACGCTACAACAAGAGGTCTTTTTATATGATCACTAATTAGCGGCCTTTTTTCTGACGAGGTGTAAATAGGCGTCAGGAAGCAAACTACCATCGTCAGGATTTAAAGGAGCGTAAGCGGAGTTAATATGCCAAGCCTCCAAACAAAGGCGCTGGTGGTAACGCCGATTAGTGGTGATAATTTTAGAATTATCCCACCCAATTGTATGGTTAGTTAGGCAAGTATGCTCCGATAAAGCTGAATTTTCCTTTTTGCAAAGGAAAACCGCTTTTTGGTGCTATTTTAAACGTGTACCAAACTGACGTTCCACGTCCAACATGGTAATGGAAGACTTGGAACAAAGGGCCTTAGCCACTTCACCGGTTAAACCCTTTTTCTGGAAACGATATGTCGATGATGTTATTTCTGCGGTATCCGGAAATGGTAGTAGTGATAGGTAGTAACAAGTGCAAATAAGGTAATAACGCTTATCTCAGAACTGTACACTGAGGAAAAAACGGTACGACGATAACCTTAGAGAGTTACTCAACTGCTAGTAAATGATTATTCTAAGTTAGGAAGGAAGAGAACTGTGAAAATCTCTGCTTTTTATATTCTTAAAGGAAGTATCGCCTAAAAGGAATAGGCTATCTAAGCCCGAGTTTAAGGAAACGGCTTTCGTGTAACCTGAAACAACTATGCAAAGAATAATATTGCGCAATACTTCCCAAGAATGGCGACTTGAAAAAATACATTTCACGTTTGTTATTAAACGGGACAATTTACGAATTATGAAATACTTACGGTCAATATGGCTGCTTGAAGTTGGAGAGATACTATACACTGAACTTGATGTGGCACTGCTACTCGAGGTAAGTGAGACACTAAAGCTGCTGCTACTTGAACTTACTGAAACACTGGAACTGCTGCTACTCAAACTTGGTGAAACACCGGAGCTGGCGCTTCTTGAACGTGGTGAGACAGTGGAGCTGCTGCTTCTTGAACTTGGTGAGACACTGGAACTGCTGCTACTTAAACTTGGTGAGACACTGAAGCTGCTGCTGCTTGAATTTTCAGAAACAGTAGAGCTGCTGCTACTTGAACTTGGTGAATCGCTGGAGTCACTACGACTTAAAATTGGTGAAACACCGGAGCTGGTGCTACTTAAACTTGGTGAGACAGCGGAGCTGCTGCTACTTGAACTTGGTGAATCACTGGAGCTGTTGCTACTTGAACTTGGGGAGACGCTGGAGCTGCTACTGCTTAAACTCAGTGCTACAATGAAGCCGCTGCTATTTGAAACACCTGAGACAATGGAACTACTTCTACTTGAGCTTGGTGAAACACTGGAGCTGCTGCTACTTGAACTTGGTGAAACACTGGAGCTGCTGCTACTTGAACTTGGTGAAACACTGGAGCTGCTGCTACTTGAACTTGGTGAGACACTGGAGCTGCTGCTACTTGGACTTACTGAAACACTGGAGCTGCTGCTACTTGAACTTAGTGAAATACTGAAGCTGCTGCTACTTGAACTTGGTGAAACACTAGAGCTGCTGCCACTTGGACTTAGTGAAATACTGAAGCTGCTGCTACTTGAACTTACTGAATCACTGGAGCTGCTGCTACTTGAACTTGGTGAATTACTGAAGCTGCTGCTACTTGAACTTACTGAAATACTAAAGCTGTTGCGACTTGAACTTGGTGAATCACTGAAGCTGCTGCTACTTGAACTTGGTGAAATATTGGAACTGATGCTATTTGAAGGTGATGAAAAAAAGAAGCTGCTTTTGCTTGAACTCTGCGAAACAATGGAGTTGCTGCTACTTGAACTTTGTGAGACAGTGAAACTGTTAATACTTGAGCGTGTTGAAACACTCAAACTGCTGTCTGTTCTAATGATATTAAGGGTGCTGCTTGTAGAGATGGTGTAGCTATTGCTTTCCGACGTTTGTGAGATACTGAAGTCTCTGCTACTTGGATCAAGTGAAATGCTGAAGCTACTTCTTAATGATAGTGATGAGGTTTCTTTTCGAATAGTTGAGCTCGGTGACATAAAATAACTGGTACTGCTTAAAACTGAAGAAGGGCTGTAGTTTATATAACTTGAACTTTTAAGGGCACTCAAACTTCCGATAGTAGAACTCACAGACTGGCCGTAACTGCTGCTATCTGAACCTAGGAATTCAGTGAGGCTGTTAGTGGTAGTTAAACTATGATATGATCTTGTATAAACTGTAAAAATGTGATGATTGTATAATAATTTGCTAGAAATGAGGTAGTCATTACTGATTATGATTCCATTGTATTATTAAACGAAATTCTTAGCTGAATTGTCTCCCCAGAAATTTCGGAGGACTATAGATTTGAGAACTTTAAACTACTACGATTCGGCATAATCCATCGCAAAAAGGTTTATCCAATAGAAATAGCAAGCGAAAAAAGATTTTCAAGTGAGTATCAGGGTTTCTGTTTCCATCAGAATTCACCAAAGAAAAACTCGAGGTTGCGTTTATGTGTAAATAGTTCATTTTCCCTGGAATAATCTCTTTGCTATGGAATATGCCAAAGGGAGAGAAAAAAACCACATATTATTACCAACAGTTGATCAGTTTAATGACAAAGGTACCTACCCGTCTGGTAAATCGTCGATGTTGTAGTGGTGCAAGGACAGTAGCATAACAAAGAGCTAGAAATGCTGGAACCGACAGTGGTCGAGGATAAAAAATATAGGTACGAACTACTTCCATCCCTCCACGAATCGTCTGCAAATGACGAGGAAATACCAGACATGGGATGAGACGAGGACGACAAGAACTGGGAAGCAGTCCTTGCATCACTCGATAGACCATGTAGCCATGAAGAACTTTTCAAGTTCCTTGAATCAGGTCCACAAGGGCAAGTACACAAGGATTCTGAACTGGAAAATGCTGTCAAACGGATGACAATACGAAACAGTTAATGACCCAATTATAGATGACATTGGAAGGTGAGGTTTTGATAATTTTAAATTTTGGGCATTTAAATTGTTATTTGCTATGCACTTGACTTTATTTACTCTGGCATAATGTCAGAGGGTATGAATGACGTCCATTTGGACGATTGCAGCCCTTTGTTTTAAACTGATATTTAAGCTAATAATTTACTTTCTAACAACTTTGCTGCACGGTTATTATGGACATTGAAAATCCTAGAAATACATAGGCCGCTTGCCATACATAACATTCATGCACGGCCTAGCCAACTAAAGGTTTCTCTGTTATTCCTTTAGTGCCACAGGCTCTTTAGACAGCTTATGTTTGAAAATGAAGCCATTAGGTTCCTGAATGATTATGACTGTTCGGTGAAACTCCGTTAAATGTTTGATACTATCACCATTGCTTTTATAATCAAATCTATTTTTTTCATCGTGTTTAAGATTATATTACCCATTGATATTATTCTTATTATCACTACGGTGTTTTAAAACAGTCAAAATGCAGTGCTATAATAACTCTGTCTTTCAAAGTGATGAGGTTGTGTAACGAAAGAAGATTTTCAAGTGAGTATCAGGATTTCTATTTCCATCAGAATTCACCAAAGAAAAACTCGAGGTTGCGTTTATGTGTAAATAGTTCATTTCCCCTGGAATAATCTCTTTGCTATGGAATATGCCAAAGGAAATAAAAAAAACACATATTATTACCAACAGTTGATCGGTTTAATGACAAATGTACTTACCCGTCTGGTAAATCGTCGATGTTGTAGTGGTGCAAGGACAGTAGCATAACAAAGAGTTAGAAATGCTGGAACTGGCAGTGGTCGAGGATAAGAAATATAGGTACGAACTACTTCCATCCCTCCACGAATCATCTGCAAATGACGAGGAAATACCAGACATGGGATGAGACGAGGACGACAAGAACTGGGAAGCAGTCCTTGCATCACTCGATAGACCATGTAGCCATGAAGAACTTTTCAAGTTACTTGAATCAGGTCCACAAGGGCAAGTACACAAGGATTCTGAACTGGAAAATGCTGTCAAACGGATGACAATACGAAACAGTTAATGACCCGATTATAGATAATATTGGAAGGCGAGGTTTTGATAATTTAGGTTCCTGAATGATTATGACTGTTCGGTGAAACTCCGTAAAATGTTTGATACTATTACCCTTGCTTTAATTATCAAACCTATTTTTTTCATCGTGTTTAGGATCATATTGACTATTGATATTATTCTTATCATCACTTCGGTGTTGTAAAACAGTCAAAACGCAGTGTCATGATAACTCTGTCTTTCGAATATTTCTTTAGCACTTACAGTACATAGATGTCTCATAGACGGTTGAAGATGCTGTGCTGCAGCGGCAGTAGCATAAGTGAGAGCCAGGCATGCTGGAAGAGGTGGACGCGAATGAATAATACTGAGAAGAATTTCTCTCATCGTTCGATAATGCTTTTGTGACTGACGAAGAAATACGAGATGCGAATGAGGTATTTACTACACTTGTGGTTGCATACAGGAATGAGGAACTTTGTGAGTCACTCAAACCAAGTTCGCAAGGACAAATGCAGGAGTATTCTTCGACCGCATGGCTGGAAAAAGCTGCGAAATAAATGAGAATAATTAACTGTTAATAAGATTAAACTTGGAAAAGTGTACTTTCACAATTTACATAAACGAACAAAAGGCGAACTCTATGTTCAAAGATTCGGCCGGATTCGGAAAAATGTTGTTCGGTCAGGTTAGTTCAGAGTGCGATACGCTCCGAAGTATCTCAGGACTTTGGGATACGCTGTAATTGTTGTTACCTGAACTCTATGCGCTCTCTTCTTGAATGTAAGGATGCTCAAAATTAAAGGTAAACTAAAAAATGGTGCTTTGTTGAGCGAATTTTAAAATGTGGGACGCTTCGCAAGTTAAGGTGTCCAATAGTCTTGGAAGATTTGGGCATATGATAAGACAAATGGAAATATGACTCAGTAGATAAAGAAAGTGAAATTAACCTCTTTCTTTTCCTTATCTTTCGCCATTATCATCATCGTCTTTATAATCATCATTCTTATTGTGTTTTTTAATCTCTTCATCATCATCATCATTATCATAATTATTACAGTTATTATCATGGGCACTCCAGCATACTTACGTGTTTGGTAAACACTTGAGGGTGTTCCACTGCAGGGGCAGTAGCATGAAGAGAGGTCAAGAATGTGTGAGGAAGTACTGGAGGATAGGTAATACTTGGACGAAATGCTTCCATCGCTAAATGAAGCTTTTGTGAATGACGAAGAATTATCCACGGAGAGAGGGATCAAAAATGAGAAACTTTTGGATGAGGTAGCATATGCAGGCAAGGAACTTTGCAAGTCCTTGAAAACAGAGTTGCAAGGACAAGTACACAAGGATGCGTCTGCTGAAGAGCTTGAGGAAGCTGTATAAGCTGTGAAGTGGTAAATAGTAAATGCTATATGAATTACATGAGGTAAGATATAATTTAAGATGTACTGTATAAATCTGAGTCGGAACTCCATGAAGAAAACATGTCAAAAAATCCTACCACTCCCCATCTATTCAGATTTTTTGGTACATGTTAGACTTCGTACATGTTACTTCCAGCAAGATGAGGAAACTACAACAGCATTAAGGTCCTAAACAACACGAATACCGTAAAATGGAATAAAGCTTGCTGCCCTACAACATCCCCATTCCTCATTATGCAAAAGTTCTTTGAGAGGACAGAAAAGAAGTGAAAACAGTATAATATCTTAGGGTCCAAGGCTTTTGTTTTTTGGAATAACCGGGAATAATCGTTAAACGGAAGTCATTCCAAACAAGCTCTGTGCACTTCTTGATTTCAAACGATTCATAAATCATTTTATATTGGCACATATGATTATGAATCTCTTTTGTACATGCAAACTAGCCTTCTTGACCTTGCTTTGGAGTGAAACTTCAATGTTTTTAGTGTGTTATCGAGGCCAGAGCGGTTTGTTCCATAGCTGGTTAAGATAACCTAGAGCGAGTGTGAGATCCGATATCATACCTGATAGTTTTAAAAGAAAATTCAGTACAATTATTTTCGTCTAAATTTGATTATTGGACGCCCTAAAAAGAATAGAAAAAATGCCCGAAAAGGCTTTTCAACGAAAGAATAAAGAAACCCGGATTGAAAGTTAACCCTGGCTAATAAAACAAGTCAATTAGCAATTGTACTTACACGTCTCGAAATGAATCGATGATGTTCCTTTGCAGGGACAATGGCAGAACGAAGATACGACGTATTGGGACGAACGATCTCTGTCGCTTGAGTAAACGTAGAGAGAGGAAGAGGCTTGCGATTCCTTTGAAATACGCTGACAAGGGCAAGGGCACAATGGTACGTCTCCTGTTGTAATAGAAAATGCTGTCGAATAAAAGTTGTATTACAGTTGTATTATTATTATTGTTGTTGTATTTTCCTCAATAACATATCATGAAATATAAAAATTATAGAAGAAATACATAATATACATGGTACAAATTTTTGGATTGTTTTAATACTGAAGGACAGAATCATTTGTATCAGTACTGATAGGTGATAGCGTTGGTTTTTGGCACCCTGAACTTTGTAGGGTTAACATAATGAAGAATCTTGAATTGATTATGCAATTATTCAATCAACGAAAAAAATAACCGACAAAGAGATAATTACTAATAAAAGATACATGGGGAAACTGAAATTAATTTATTCAGCAGCTCTTTCCCCTTAATAAGACTGATTGTCAAGATTTTAGAAAAATGCTGTCATGGATAATCACAGTATGTAAGATCTTGAATTGTAACTGCTTTTACCTGAAGTTGGTGAAGTACTGAGGCCACTTCTCTCTGAAGTAGGAGAAAAACTTAAACCGCTTCTACTTGAACTTGGGTACAAACTAAAAGGTCTCTCACTAGAGCTTGACGAAATGCGAATTTCGGTACTCGCAGAACTTGAACTCTGAGATAAGCTGAAATCTCCGCTATTGAAACGAAGATACGTACTGTGTGTATCGGAACTCGGATACACAGAGAAACTGCTGACGGATATTGAACTGCCATATGACTTTGAGTGAGCTGTGACAAAATAAGGAACGAAATAAGGTTTAATCAAGAGCAAATATGCCAATTATTTTCTCCTCGTTTGATATTGTGTATTAAAGCCGAATAGAGTCAATCGTCTCAACGCTCCAATCTCAGTTCCTAGTGATTCATGAGCGGTTTCGAATTTTGCCGCCATTTATCACAAGCTACTACTTAAGGAAAATAAATGAGCAGAAATTAATTACCAAGGAAATCGGCAGAAACTTCATCTTCGTCGATGTTCACTTCACCCGAAAATAAACATGAATGTAAAAATCACCAGTCACCAGTCACTCTTATTCAAATGATTCGAACAAAGCGGAATTTGCAAACTTTGTCTTACGATTTGACTCTACCCTACAAAACGGTATGAATGAAGATGGCATGAATGAATGGAATCTTTGTGCAATAGATACATCCACTAGAGTCCAGAAATAAACGTTTAAGTAGCCCTCAAATGCTAAGTTTCCGTGGAGCTGAATTGTTATATAATGAAGGATGGAAATGTGATTAGGAAAACTAGGGTTTTTTTTACTGATAAAAATACACCTCCGTGACGAATAAATGTAAATTGTTCGCATTTCTTTACTGGATGTACTTACGCATCTCGTAAATCGTCGATTTCGTTGTGCTGCAACGGCAGTAGCATAGTGAAGAGCCATAAAAGCCAGATCTAAAGGTGCTTGAGGATGAGAAATGCAGGGACGAAGTACTTCCTTCTTCGGAGGAAGAATATGAGGTTGCATAACTTTGCAAGACCTTCAAAGGTGAGTCGCATGAGCAAGGACATAAGGATGTGGCTTCTGTCGGACTGGGAATCGATGCTAAAAAGATTAAAATTGTCAGAAATAAGTTAATTAAGTTCGTCATAAATGATTTTAAACTGAATTGTATACTTTCCTTGCTAAAAGAAGGAAACTTCAATAGTCTCTTAGAGTCCCACACCTTTCTTGGGTTTTCACAAGCATTATCGTATCCAGAATCCAGGATCGAAATGGAAATTGATGGAAAATAGATCAATATTTTTGAAATTTTGACATTTTTAAAGGTACTCTGTCTTGAAAAATGTGCTACTTTTAGGCTACTTAATTCCTTAAATTATGTCTCCCGACATCGAAATGTCGGCTATAGGAGGGTCTCCATGGGATGATGGCTTTTAAGGCTGACGGTTAAAATTTTGGTGATTTTACGGCTATTGTGTAATTCGTTTTTAACCGTTGACACTTTCCTATACGACTAACGGTTAAAATTTGTCCATTTTTACGCCAAACGGGTTAATTTTTTGGCCGCTGTACGGCTACGGGTTAACCCCATTGAGACTCTCCTATAAGAAAAGTATCGATTGTGTCAAAAGAGTTATGATTTCGTTCACTCAGCGGTCAAAGTGTTTGAGGAAATTTTTTTCAATTTTGCATTAGATAGCTAATAACATTTTTGGCGAAACTAGGGAAAAGATGCTTGCATTACTTTCCGGCCAAAACAATTGAAGCATATCAGTCCTTGTTTCCCATACTAAGCCTTCTAAATTTAACTTTACACACTTCAGTGGATAACTATTGAGCGAAAAACTACACATGTGTATGAAGACTTTGGCTAACTTGTTACTTGTTGGCGTGTGCAATGTATAATTTTTCTTCATTCGAGTACGGAATTATTTCATTACAGTTTTCGCGTGACATCGATAACCTCCAATTAATTAATTAGCATTCTCATGACGAACTAAACGAGTAGAATCGCTTTTGTTTTACAACAGTTCGTGGGCATAGTGTTCTACGCCTGTAAATTCCTCTGCTGTTTCATGCTGGTAAAATTAATTTCCGCCGATGTTATTTAGTCAGGTATTTCTTTAGAAGTAGTTAAGTTTTGATGTCGTTCAATTGCATGTTTTGACCGATTGACGATTAATTAAGTGCTTCGATCCGTAATTTACCCGACCGCACTAGCATAACTTAAACAATGTTACTGCCACTTAGATTGGTGTAGGAAACATAGGAATTTAGTATATTTACTGGTGACATATCACTCTCCCTGTGTAAACATTAAAAAAATGCATTGAATAAACATGGAGTATTTGGATAGCTCCATCTAATTTATTCTGTATAAATTCTTGTTCTTGATTCACATCGAAATGTTAATAAGCAAATAACATGCATATGTGGGTCTTTCTTAATGAAAAGATCAGCGATTTCTGTCTGCTAGCCTCCTAGCGTTACTTCATAGCGCATATTGAAAAATAATGATACATAATTCCAGATAGAAATCATGATCTTGCCTCATAGCAATTGATGTTGCCCTGACACCCTCTGATGCTTCAATTATGAATCTGTCAAATCTGTAGACATTAGTCTTAGTAAGTGATATAAAAATCTTTACCCTTACGGGAATAATGATGCTACGACACTAAGTAACGCTTTTGACAATCAGTTTTAAAAATTTAATGTTATTTAGCGTGTAGAACCAATGGTGTAGACAATTAATTCGAATGACTCAAACGACTCGCACACAAACACAAAAGCCTGATTGTTCAAATCAGAATTGAGACACATAGCAAGGACAAGTAACAATGTTGTCTTCCGGAGATATTGTAAATGAGCATAGCTGGAAATGCTAAAAATCTAAACATGGCACGTGCCATAACCTCCTTCTGCGTCTGGGTTGGCGGCTTAGAAATATTTCTCAGCAACAGATTCTAACTTTAGAGTACAGGAAATTAATTGATGTCCGTCAATGGCTGCACTATTTGTTGTTTCTGGAATGTTCCATATAACAGACACGATTTGGGGACGAATATTCAAATTGTAGATCCTTTTATATCTAATCTTGGGCAACAGTAGGAAATTTAGCAGGACTTCATAAAAAAATCATGAACAACGCGTAGACGCGACATTATTTTCCGCTTTCTGTTTGCAGTAACGGTCATCTGGGACTTTCTTTAGTAAATCGTGGCTGAGGCGAGATTATGATAAGATACTTTACAAATCACAAAAGAAAGAAATATACGGTTTGGAGACAACTATAAAAATTTCAGAGTCTTTTTATAGCTAACCTTGAAGGGCAGCGGGAAATCGAGTAGCACTGCATAAAAAATTAATGAACAACGCGTAGACGCGGCCTTATTTTCCGCTTTAATTCTGTTTGCAGCCATCTGGAAACTTTCTTCTATAAATCGTTGCTGAATCGAGATTATGATACGATGCTTTGCAAATCAGAGAGAGAAGAATTATATTTTCACTCACCTTTTGAGGTGATAAGGATGACGTTTAACAAGAACCAAAAAACCCACATAATCCTGCTTCCAGACATCGTTAAATTGTGTTTTGTAATTATTGACATAGCGTCATCACTCTTGCGTATAGTCGATATCGATGCCGATCAGCAAAATGGGGAGGTTTATTCGGCTTTGCCTTTTCTACAGCCAAAGTTTTAAGAATGTGGTCAAAATCCCAAACTCAAATGATCTTGCCAAGTTGAACGGATAACCTTCAAATGTACTGAATTTGCTCGATGTCCGATTATTGGCGTAGCTTTCTAAGAAAACGAGTTTGACATTCATGCTAATGAAATCGAGGCATAGGGTAAAATTACACTGGACCACTGGACCACTGGACCCTTGGACTATTGAACTATTTTCTGGGCCATTTTTTTACCACTTTTTGGGACCATATTTTGGATATTATTTGGACCTTTTTTTTTCAGGACTATTTTAACAGGGAAAGGTAGACCATTAGTACTTAGGGAGGGGCGGAAGGAAAATTGTTGTTACTGGGGTAGGGCTGGGATGCAGCCTATCAGTACTTAGGGAGGGGTGGAAGGTAAACTGTTGTTACTGGCGTAGGGCCGAAGGAGGGAGGGGCGGGAAGTTGTTGTATTAGTAAATGCTACTGATTAATGGAGTTTTTAATGGATCATTCAAATTTTTTTTGAGCGGGTTTTCGACTGGCTATTTCTATGTAAACATTTTTGCGCTGGGTCGTAGCGTTTCTTTATTTTTTTGTCATGCGAGTGCGAAACTGGTACCTAAACACTGAAATATTTTTCCATTGCCGAAACTGGATGATCAATAAGCCATCGTTGCTTTGGTAACGTTTGTATTCTTATTCAACCTACAATCGATCTTGGTGAGATTTGCATTCTACACCGGCCGCTTAAGACTGAAACGTTTAAATGCGGACGTAGGCATTTCGATTTAGGGAACAAATTTAGAAAACAGCAAGTTCTCGACTGTTTTATTGCTGCGTTTGTTTTTCGGCTTTGATAAAATAGAAAGTTTCCTTTCACAGCTTGATATTTAACTTGGAACATAGCCGTTTTCAATGTATATGGCTCGATTAATCTGTGTAGGCGTAGAAATTGGACAATTAATTTCGGATTTCTATCTGTCTGCTTCATATGTAGCCTTGTTTGCCCTTATCTCGTGTCAATTGGTAAGCGTTTCAACACCGGTGATGATGTGAAGAAATATTTTCGCCATTTTAAAATTATCTATCCTGAGGATTTTAAATTCTCGAATAACTCCCTACTGTTTGTACAAATCTTAACATAAGCGTTGAATAACACCTAAATTTAGTCATGACGACGGGGCGGAACAGATCGACGGAAAAATTCGATAATTGGTTTTTGTAAAGGTAATAGGATGATGTCGAGTGCAAGTTGGTGTGAAAAAAACAAAGTAAAAATTTTCAAAGACAACAAGATTGTACGAGCCCTAAAGGCGAATACAATTTGCAGTCTAAAAATAAAATATTCAAGTGTTTACTTACACGAGAAATCATGCTGTCACTTGTTGATAATTTGCATGAAAAAAAGCATCGCAAAAGATCTTGACAGACTGTAATTACAGTACATCACGCTATTTTTGATTTATTTGAAATTTCCTATGGCTCTCTTTCCACAGCGAACAGAGCACACGCTTTCATTTAACACATTTGTCAGAGATAAAATAGAAAAAAAATATTAATCACGTCTAGCTGTCTTTAGCGGGCATTTGTTAATCTCTATGAATATATTTTTTAAGTATTTCTGAGAATCACTTTTATCATACATTGAATTATACAACTTTGTACCAGCTTTATCCTAAACCATGTCCTATCAAAATAAAAATTTCGGGAGATATTGTTAATGAGCATAGCTCGAAATGCCAAAAGCCTAAACATGGCACATGCGATAACCTCTTTCTGCGTCTGGTTTGGTAGCTCAGAAATATTTCTCGACAACAGATCCTAACTTTAGAGTAGAGCACATTAATTGTTTTCCGTCAATGAAACTTGGCTGCACTATTTGTTTTTTTGTAACTGTTCCTTATTGGAGACACGATTTGGGGACGAACCTTGAAGGGCAGCAGGAAACTGAGCAGGACTGCATAAAAAATCATGAACAACGCGTAGAAGCGACAACATTTTTTTTCTTCCTTCTGTTTGCAGCAACGTTCATCTGGAACCTTCTTCGGTAAATCGTTGCTGAGGCGAGATTATGATAAGATACTTTGCAATCACAAAAAGAAGAAGTATATTTTAACTCACCTTTGCAGGTGATAAGGATGACGTTTAACAAGAACCAAAGAACCCACATAATCCTGCTTCCCGACATCGTTGAGTTGTCATTTGTTATTAATAATATACCATTACACTTCTGTGTATGGTTGTCTACTGCCGATCAACAATAGATGTATTTTATTCGGCTTTGTCAAAGTTTTAAAGTTGTGGTCAATATCCCAAGCTCAAATGATCTTTGCCAAGTTGAACGGATAACCCTCAAAGCTACTGAATTTGCTCAATGTTTGATTAATGGTGCACTTTTCAGCTTTGACGACTTTGACTTTGGCTCT